GTTTATCGCTCGACGAAGAAATATCTCGAGAAAGACTTTGACACAAAAGCCCCGTTTTCTCTCGCACTTTCCTGCCGCCTTGCCGCTTGACTAATCAGACGCGTCACGCATCGTACACTTGCGTTGCGGCGATGTGACGGTAGCGCGTATCACGCATAACCGGCATCGGCATCGGCATCGGCATCTTCGGCATCGTGTGGTACAAATTGTACGGAGATAAAATAACGGGCGTGAAACGCATGTCCGCCACGTGGGGGGTTTCCACTTTCTTTCTCAGCAATGTGCACGGTATTGCGCGAGACATTACTTACATGTACTCGGCAACATATTCCGTAAGAATTTAATAATTTCAACCGCCAATTTAGGGCAATTATGTCTGACGTTTAGGAAAATTATTGTGACTCAACTATTTAACTTGCAATTAATTATATAATCTCTATAATAACTAATTGTGTATATAGACTTAAAATTTTTCTTGCAACCTCTAATTATACACAGTTGGAAAATTTGTGTTTTCTTGTGAAGAAAAATGCCGGTTAAAATTTTTGTGTTAAATGTTTAACAGATTCGTGTGTTAATTTAATATATTGCTCTTGTGTTAATTGACCTCTCTCTCTCTCTCTCTCTCTCTCTCTCCTCTCTCTCAAATGTAAAATTATTAAAATACTGAAAAGAAATGTGAAAACAACAATGTATACTTATTTTTTAATCTTACACAATACACATGTTCTATATTATTAGTAACAAGATTTATCTGTTAAGATTTACAGAATAAAAGGTTGATTTTTTATTCTATGTATCATAAGTGAGAGTGATTTCGAATCGTCATTTGACATTATTACATCTGTAAAATGTAAAAATTACATTTTTAAAACTTCATTTTATCATTAAAAATTTGTTAATTTTACACAAAATTTATTTCAAATTATTGAGATTTGCATTGATTTTGCGTGATCATTTAACATATCCGTATTATGTTAAATTAACATAGAAAGTGTGGCCCTTTTGGAACATATGATATCTGTTAATTTTAACACAAATTTTTCAACTGCGTAGTCTCGGTACTTGATGCAATTACTTATCATAATTCCAGTATGTTTCTCGAGTATATCTTAATATTACGCATTATTATTATTATTTACCACATTATAATTTATTACCTACTTATTAGATGCCATTATATGCTAGTGCAGTGACGTTTATTTGGTTATTATTGTGACACTGATTGATATCCTGTTACCGGATATTGTAATCACGTAGAGATATAGGCGCGCACGAAACGAGAAATGTCACCCTATTTTCCAGATCAATTCACAGGGAGAAAAGTAACAGTGTCACTTGCAATTAGCTTTTCCCGGATAATGCGATTATAAACTGATTATGTATGCGGACGCACATCCGTTTCGGTGCTCGCTTTCGTACCTCGCTTTCGACTGCACAGGACGCGTTAAGTGTCCGTTTTACAAGGGAAAATGCGCGGTTTCAGTCGTCAACACTGGCTGGCGATCGAACCTGCACGTTAAGGAATGCATCTGATTCGCGCGCGTGCATTTAATGCAATTGTCGTTAACGTAACGGCCGCATTCTCCTTTGTCGGGTGTACAACCGGTGAAAGTGTGCGTATCGATAATTAGGAAGAAGAAAAACGCCGAGGCCTAAATCCGAATTGTACGGCGAGGAGAAGCGGACCTTTATCACCGGCCGGGGGTCGTTTTGCGATCCGCGGCGAACATCGGCTGCGCTCGGTCGTACGAATTTCTCATTATCACCGGCGGGATACGTGCCAGTGAAAGTAGGAACGACATTGCATGACGTTGCACGCCTCGTTAGCATAATCGATAATTATCGCTCCCAGAAATATCCTGGTACACTTTCGGCCGCGGATGAAACGCGGTGTCCGTCCGGAAGCGGCTTCGTATCGCGAGAGAAACGAACGGATATTAGGCCTCAATAACCCGATTTTCATTGCCGGAAATGCATCGGGAAACGATAATCACGGTACGGAGGGTTCTAAAAGCTCGAGTACCGTTTTATAATACAGCAGACGTATATCTGATTATCCGTTTATGCGTTCGCTTATGCGAACGCCAGGGATCTTTGTGATGTATGCGAATTATCCGAATCTTCACGCTTCAGAAATTTGCAGTAATCTGGTAATCTTAAGCCGTAAAGTGTTTCTCCGAAGGATAATTAAGGTTTGCTGCGCACGACAATAAGACTGCAGACAATTCGGAACGTAGATTGGATCGTCTGGAAATGCAAAGTCGTGGCCTCACGCGTAACATCCCCATAACTCCTTGAAAATCCACGGCACGCATAATTAAACCCTTCCAAATTATCTCTCGCAAACGAGCAAAGATCTCGTATTTTGTTGTTCAATCCAATCAGACTCGTGCGAATCGAAAGAATTTTTATTATTTGGAAAAATATCTGGGGACGCGCCAAAAATATAACCTGCCAAATATAATCGCGCGCAGGTTCAAATGCTTAAAGAATTAAACAACAGGCCACATTGTAAAAAAATTACATGTAAAATTACAGTTATTATAGTGGATAATATTGGGACTATCTATTAAAGGTGTACATTTACATGCGTCAGTAAATTTACACTTTGTAGGTAAAATTATTACATTTAGAATAAAATATTTAGAATAAATATTTAGACACTAACACTCTGTCACGGCTCTTATTGTTAGTCCTTTATTCCTTGAAATTTGTCACATTTGAACCATACGAATTTTATTAATTTGTTAAAATTATTACCTTATATAATAAGTAAACTACTTGCTTTTAATTGTGTAAATTTTACAATTTTTTATAAAAGTACTTAAATTTATATATTTCCGTTATTTATAGTGTAATCACTTATTATGTATGTAATTTTACATACCTTTTTATAGTGCACATGTTATGTCGAGTCCAATATCCCATGTCGAATTCGAAGTAGAATCGCAAAGGATTGTTACTTGGATCATGGTGATTGGACTTTTTAGCGCCACCCTGGTGGTTACAGGTGACTGACTAGCGGTGTTATCGAAATTTTTTTAAACGCTTGTAAAAAATAAAATTTTTAATATGAACAGCTAGATAATAACATAAAGTAAAATTGCGCTATTCAATTCTTATGACACTACTCGTGAAAATATCAATTAATTTAATTATCCAATGTAGAAAAATTGCTAAACGATACAACTTGCCAATTGCGTCGTTTAGCAATTTTTCTACATTGGTTAATTATGTACTGGCGTCAAATTATGTTATTTAATTATATCATACAATATTTTGTGTACACACTCATGATAATGAAAATTCTTGTAGTGTACACGGTAAGGCTTGCTGGTGCCACAGTTGGGTTGGCACCTCATTTTTAAGTGTCAATGTTTCTATCCAATCAACGAAATTATTTCTAAAAATGTTCCTGTATTGATTTCGATTGATTCTTCGTTTACGTTGGAATCAATCCAATGCAGTGCATTCCGAATGACATTCATTTAGTGAGAAGCACATCGTGAAAGCTTTGTAGTACCCATTTGCCACACTAGCGTGAGATATCGGACACATCCCTCGAATAATGGAAGGACGCTCTCGGTCTCTCGCGGGAACGAGATAGAAATTGCACTTTCCAACGCGATAAATTACGCCGATTATCGGCGCAATTTCTGCTGTCACGCTTCGTTCGCGCGCGGGTGTGTCCGAAAGGAACGACGCGACGGCGATGCGAGATTGACGGTGTACCAGAGAAGACGTGCCAGAACTTGGCGAATTACTAACGCGGATAACAGTTAGCGCGCTTCACTTAGAATTAGCGAGTATGTTATTTTCGCGGAGAAAAGTGGATGGTTTCACCGTCACGCATAGGGCTTCATTTCGAGACTTGTAGTACTAGAAAACGATCGGATGTTGAGAAAGTGTCGTTTCGTCGTCGATTTCAGTGATAAAAAGAAAGTTTGGCACTTGCGATTGAATTAATTGCCTGAGCGATCTCAGAAATAAATCAGAAATTTTTGCAGTTTTTATTAACACATTTTCTATTTATCACTTAATACTGCGAAAATCAATTTTGTCAAGTTTACATTTACCAGGGAATTTTTTAATTCAAGAGAATAGAGACAGAAAGTATATTTTTTACATAGAAAACGAGCGAAGAATTTGTATTTTATTCGAGTTTAAATTAATATAGTAAAAATTTTAATATTAGAGTTTACAAATATTGTTATAATACGTAATATATTCTCGGTTTTATTTTTGCCAACGAGGTCTACTGTATGATCAGAACCGTACAAAATTTAAGGCAGAATTGCTTTCTATAATTTTACCTACACAGTTGGAAAATTTGCGTTTTCTTGTTAAAAACAATGCCGGTTAAAATTGTCGTGTTAAATGTTTAACACATTCATGTGTTAATTTAACATATTGCTCTTGTGTTAATTGACCTCAAATGTAAAATTATTAAAATTTACAGAATAAATGGTTGATTTTATTCTATGTCCATCTGTATAATCTAATCTAACTATATAACATGAGTGAGAGTGATTTCGAACCGTCATTTGACTTATTACATCTGTAAAACGTTGAAATTACATTTAAAAAATTTATTTTGTCATTAAAAATTTGTTAATTTTACACAACATTTATTTCAAATTATTTTAAAATTTGCATTCATTTTGTTTTAAAATATTAACCGAGTATTTAACATATCCATATTATGTTAAATTAACAGAGAAATTTGTGTGAACCGTTTGGGACATATGATATCTATTAAGTTTAACACAAATTTGTCAACTGTGTACATTACATGTTCTCACGTATATGCATTCTAATATCGTGTTCTAATTCTTTAAATGTTTCGTATTATCGATGACTGATTTTTTTCATGTACAGCATATAACGTTATTATAGCCGCAAATTATAGTAAAGTAGGCCTTACAGGCCTCTATAGTCGTAGTACATTCGTTTAAACTGTAAGAGACTGTAAGAGATTGCGAGATGAATGAATTTCTTCTTGGTTGTTGCAGCAGTGCGGCAGCGGTAGCAGCGGCGGCAGCGGCTCGACGGAGGGTGTCGTGGTGAACGTCGGTACCAGTAACGGCGTCGGCAGCGTCGGCAGCGGCGGCGGCAGCGGCGTCGGCGTCGGTGGCATGGACTGCATGCCCTTGCGCCCCGGTCCGTTCCACTACCTCATCAGCGAGCAAGCCAAGTCCCTGGTGGCCCTGCAGGAATTGCAGAATGAGGTCGGCGCCCTGCTCGAGTTCCGGGACCTCGTCATCGAGACGTTCCCAAACCTCCGGCACAAGATGGCTGCGACGGCGTCCGCGGGTGCGTCCGTGATGTCGTCCACCTGTACCCAGAGCTCGCACATCCCGCTGCCGCTGTCGAGCCCGTCCTCGCGAAGGATCAGCGAATGGGAGCCTGGCAAGATAAGGCGGCGTGTGACGCGCGAAAGTAGCGGTGGCGGCGGCAGCGGTGGAAGCGGCAGCGGGGGTGGAGGTGAATCCTCATCCTCGTTGCCTAGAAGCCGCAGCAACTCCCACAGCGGCGGCACCAAGAACAACTGTAGTGCGACGGTCCAGGACTCCGGTTTCAGTACGGAGACCTCGTCGAAGGACAGCGCCTCGACGGCGATCGCGCCGCGAGCGAGCAGCCCCCGGCCGAACGCGTTGGACGAGGCGGAGGATGAGCTCTGGAACCTGCTAGACGTGATCCACCGCAAGGGGATCCGGCTGCGAGAGGAGGTTGAGTGCCTTCAGGGTCGCCTGGAGAGCGTGGCGACGGACGAGCTGGTGTCGACGGACGTGCTCGAGGCTGTGACAAAAATCACCGGTCTTGGCAATGCCGACAGGACGATCGGCCGCAACGTTCTTGACGACGGGAGTGTCGATCCCGAACAGCAGGACAGCAGGGACCCGCAAGTGATAGCTCTCAGGCGGGAAAAGGAACAGCTGCTGGACAAGGTGGCCGAGCTCGAAGCGGAAACGATATCGAGTCGCGCTCGAGCTCAGGAACTGCAAACGGAATTGGCCGCCCTATCGGCGCTCAAGACTGGTCTGGAGGATCGGTTGCGGGCTGGACTGACCGAGAGTGCCTCGGAGATCTTGGCACCGGGCGTTCAAAGACTGCAACCTATCGCGCCGGTGATCTCTTCGCCGAAAAATGCCAACGTTACTAGTATCAAGAGCAAGAGCTCGGCATTCGCGTCGGTCACCGGTAGTCCCGGAGGCAAGGTTCACAAGAGCCGCTTTCGCACGAGGACCATCGAGAAGAATGTACTGCTGGACGTGGTCGGGCGCAATGACGAGATGCGCAATGTCGACATCGATATTGAGGCGAACGTGAATGAAAGGCGAGCTAGGCTGGGAGCGCTCGATTCCATCCTAGTCTCGCCCACCAGGGTGACTCACGTGAAAGACGTAGACTCGAAGAAGATTGCGGCCATTCTTCGCGAGCATTCGCCCCTCGAGCTTCAGCGGCACCTAATTACTACTACCGTCCATAATCAGGTAGGATGGCTGATTTCCATTCTAACACATCTATTTAAGAATAAATCAACGTCCGTTGATCAGCGACCGTTAATCTCTCGATAACCGTCTTTGCAGGTCCTACAAAAAAGGCTAGATGAAGTGAAAAAGAGTACCGAAACTCTCTCGGAGCGACTGGACAAAGCGCGCGAGGAGAACGACGATTTGCGCTTCCAGGTGAGTCGCGATCAAAAGAATTGCGTTTATTCGAGAGTCCCAAAGAAAGGTGTCGTTCTTTCACATTCTCTCTGTGAAAAGAACCATGCCGATCCTTATAGTATAATATAATACGATTTGCGTTCCTTTCAGTTGGAGGAACGAAATATCGAACTGGAAGGCACGAGGGCGCGGGTGCGCGTGTTGGAGCGTCTTCAGCAACGACCGCCGACGGAGGCCGAGCCGGAGGCGGACTTGGAACAGCCCAGGTGCGAGCAGAGCGGCCTCGAGCCCGGCAGCAGCACGGAGTCCGCGCGGGATCATCATCAGCCGGTAGAGATCAAACCGTCGCCGCGGCGGCGTCCTAGTCGTATACCTTTACCCGGCAACGTGAGTGGCAAGACAACGTCGACGACGCCTACAGCGAGCGTGACTGCAACGACGCCTGTGCGACCTTCCAGTCACGGCAGGAACGACAGCAGGGAATCGCTCAAGTCGCTAACGAGACCGCCGCGTGATTCTAGTCGTGACAGCCATGGCGGCGGCAAGTCGTTGTCGAAACCGCGCGACTCCAGCCGGGACTCGCTGGGCAATAGAAGTCTGTCCAGGAGCGGTGGTAACGGAAGCAGCAACAGTAGCGTCGGTGGCGGCGGCGGCGGCGGCGGCGGCGGCGGCGGCGGCGGCAAGGAAATAAACCGGGAGTCATCCTTGAACAACCGGTCCCTGCCGCGTAACAATTCCAGCCGAGACTCCTTAAATAAATCCTCCTCGCTGTCCCGCGCCCGTGACTCGCTGGAGTCTAACAACAATCTGAGCACGTCCTCGCCCACCACGGGACCGACTAATGCTCCCCCTCGACGACCGCCCGCTCCCGCACGCCGTTCCCACAGCCTGGCGCGCGCAGCGACGTCCGATGTGTCCGAGAACGGCAAGGTACGACCCGTAAAGCAATTCTTTTGGAGCAGCTGGCTGAAGTCACCGTTGTCCAACGGCCCGGTATAGTAGAGAGCTCTCGGCAAGCCTTCTCTCTCCCAGGACGACGGGCTGTAGTCGCTCTCCCTCTCTCTCTTAGAGACAGTCACCGCCTTCAGCATCATTCCCTTCGAAGTCCCACTCTCTTATCCCTTGCAACGAGATTAGAAAATCGCTATCCCTTTTATTTCCCGATCGTATCTCGACCCGCACTGACTTTGGTCTCGTTAAATTAAGATCGGCTAGACGGACTAAACGGCTACTCGTTCTATCGTCGTCGCTTCCACTTGACGGTGAATTGTTCTATTACTGTCTTGCTAACTGTCTCACTTCTCTACCTCTCGCCTATAACTACCACCGTTACTGTCATTACCGTCACATCTTTGCCGTGCATAATAACCGTAACAGTGACTGTATTTAGCCGGTGTTACTGAGAATACGTACGTTTATCGAGGATGTATCTGACACGGTCTCCTGTAGCGATACGGACAAATGTTGGCACCGGACTTTCATAACATTGCCATTTTCTCCCACTTTTCCCATGGCGTCTTCACTACTGTCCGCTGTCCTATTCCACTCCTTCCTCTGTTTCCACCGCGGACTTCGATACGGTACCAATGATGTACGATCATACAGGAACGGAACTTCCGTTCTCGCTGAGCCGTCTTTGCCTGTTAATGTTCCTGAAAAACGCAAAAAAAAATACCATCTCTAACGATACATGCAGAGACTCGAGCGAGCGAATCGACTGATTCTTGTTTTAAAACCACCAATTGTCCGCCCGACCGTCCACCGTACCGAAATCAGTCTGATCTGGAGGGCAGGCGAGCGTGCGTTCGAGCCCGTCCCCAACGGCGGTCCAATAAAGAAAGAAAGTGGCCCCTTCTCGCGTGCCGCCGGTTTTTTCTCGTAAGTTATGCTTCTTTTATTATCATTTGCTTCGATGCTTCTTTCCTGGATGTGGTGAGCTGTAAGCCTCTGTCTTTTTCAATCCGCCCTTATTTCCCTCCCCCACCCCCTGCCCACACCGGTAGAGTATACACTGTGGTTTGAACGCTCTCACTTGGATTTTGGCATGCGCACGTACCCGTAGTCAAATCCTCCCAGATTGCGAGTACCAGTAAGAACGCTTACCTCCGCAAATGTAGTACGTGAGAGTTCTCTCGAGCTTTCGGAATGAGTAACGTAGTTTTGATATGCTAACGTGTTTTTTTTGTTTCATCCGAATTTTGTAGAACTAATAGAGATTAATCATTCGTGTTAGTTTGCCACCGCAAATTCCAACTTCTGAGATTACTTCCATCTCGTCCACCTGGCGAACGAGATTGTTTTTCTCTTTCACGAGGGACTGCTTACTCTACACGTATAAAATTTAGATTGGCAATCGAGATTTTAATGCACCCTTAGTTCTCTAATTTCTAAGATACTTTAAAAGCGGATTTCAACGATCCACGGTAGTGTTTAGAGAACGCAGCGAAATAAACACACAGTCTTTTATATCATTTCAAAGTCGCATTTACAAGGGGTCTACACGGTTATTCGCACGTTGGATTTTGCCGCTTGTTTCTTCTCTTTTGCGATTCATTTACGAGAACCCGTTAATTCGTGCATGCGCGGCCGATCGTTTGATCAAAGTCTATGCATTCATCGCGATAAGCGCGCGCTTCCGTTGCCGATGTTTCGCTGAAGTACGGCCGATCGCTGAACAAAACTAGAAACATCCTAGCCACGTTTAGATACTTTCACATTTGTCTTTCGTCCGCAAGGGCGCACACAGCCATACATACGCTCGATTCGTCGCATTTACCTCGACACAACCCCCGTACATCTCGCCAGCATACATATTTTCAAACATCTCTCACTCTCACGAAGTAGGAAGAGAGGAGGAGGAGGAGGAGGAAGAACCATTCACTTAGCACGTATCTTTTCGATCATCATCAGCATTCAACGCTAGCGAAACCTTCCTCCCCGCTCTCTCAAATGTATGTTGTACGTTAAAATTGGTTCGCTCTTTTCGTTTGCTGAGATTTGATCTTATTTTGCTAGCGCTGCTTGTATGCGGAACACAAGAACCCGAGAGAGTCGTCATAGTCACGGTCTACTAGTCATATTTGCGACCAGCGATTTTTTTGTGAGAAAATGAGTCGACCACACGCTTATCCGCTTGGCCTTGCGGTTCATTGTCCATCTTATGTCCAGCGATATCGCGCGAGGCGACGTTTACATTTTACAATACGTTCCGTTCGCCAATAGAAATTCACGAGACGCTCTCTTTCACTTAATTACTACGATTCTTACGTTTACACTTGTTATGATTGAATTGAAATCGTTACGTAGTGAATTCGCTTCGTATGAGAGTTTTACTTTCGCTCGTACATATCATGTTACATAAATACGAGGGATGACAGTTCTTGATACCTCAGCATTAAAACAGCCAGTAGCAGCAGTGTTTCTTACAGATTGTTACCGTCCTAACATGTAATTTTCTCTCTCTCTCTTTCTCTCTCTTTCTCGTCAACTTTTACGCTGCAAAACTGACGCGAACCGGCTGTTCTAAATTCTTGGGTATTAATACAAAGTTAATCTCTTTGTCGCGCATCTCTTCGAGATACATCTCCAAGACGATGCACGTCTTAAAGCGATGCTGTGTAGTCTCGGCAGAAGAATCTTCCCGCTTGTAATAGACCAGCAGGGCGCGCGCTTTACTTGTCCGATTGGCTAACCCGTATTTTGTGTCTTGCAGAGCTGCACCGAACCACCGAGCTCCTGGTGTTCGAGCAACAGCAGTTTCCGTCACAGCGACTCGTCCCTCTATCCGGATTCCCTGAATCAAGAGACATCGTCCGTCACCGGTTCCACACGAGTAGAATTCATAATCGGCTCGCCTACCAGGCGCTTCCGCACGAGCTCCGCCTGGGCGCATCGCTACTTCGACAGCATCGACTCGGCGGCTACGGTGCCCGAGAGCCTGCTAACCGACGAGTTTCCTCTTAGACGCGGCGAAGCTCTGGCCGAGTGCGACTCGCTCGAGTGTCATCCGATCTCGAGCGAGGATTAAACGCGCAACCGATCGAAACGTTAGCGCGAAGCTAGCGAAAGTGGCGAGTCGCGTAGAGCGAATTTACTTGCTCTTGCTTCTTTCCATTATTTCACACCGTACCACTGGTTCTGCTTCTACGCGGCCTTACTCGCGTCGCGTCACCGATGCGTACGCGAATGTATAAATAACGGAATTCTAGAAACATATTCGTTTAGAAGATACGACGCGCTGGGGGAATGACACTCGCGTTCTCAATGACCCTTATTCTGTGCCTTTTTAATATCGAATGCTTTTCATTTATCTTTGTTTAAGAATCGCGTCTCGTGGCGATTCTAAGCGAACATGAAATCCAACGATTCTAAACTCAAGTGTAACAATACCGTTTCCCCGCAGGACTTACTACGTACTTCCCTCGAGTTGCATTTAAAAGGCATTTCATACACCTTTATAACACAACGGAGATTTTTTAGCAGGCAATTTTGCTATCGAATCAAAAGTAAAAATGATGTAACTGATAATAGCAATTGTCCAAAACAGTGTTGAAAGTTGATACCTTCATTGACGATATAAAGATGGAAATACGGTCAAATTTCATATTTATAGATATATCATGTTTGAGTATGGACAAAAATTTCTAAATTATATAAATATATCGCGTTTATTTATCAAGTAAAAGAAAAGCACACACATACCGAGATGTAATAAAAATTTGTTTCGAATCTTTTAAGGAGAGTCAGTGCAAGAATATGCGTTATTTTTATCTTCCTTCGGATTTTCTCGTATGTGTAAAACATATACCTAGCTTATCAACAGGTATATGTATAATTCTTATCAATTAAGAAACATTTTTGAATATTTTATCGAGTCGCATATCAGTAAATGCAACGGCAAACGATTATATTTATTTATTTCGATATTTGATGTTACGTTTGGTATTGTTTTTAATATGTAAACATTGTAAATGGTAATTGGTTTACCTAACCAACATCAAGAATGAGTTTGTTAATCAAACTTTCGATTACTTGGTCCACGTTCGGTGACATTACTTTGCAACTCTGTAAATTTTATATCTACATCTATCTTGTATACCGCTATTTTTTATATTTCTCGCGAATATTTGTAATCTCTCTTATCCTTGAGCGAAAAGCTTTTGGTTTGACAAAAGTGTCGTTAGCAGAGTCAGGTGTGTGGAAAGATCCGATCGGATTGTTAGCTCGAAGTAAAGGATAACAGAGCCGATATTTCACATTCCACAGCTGCAATTTCGTATTCCATTTAGCATTTTTATCTTCGATTTGAATCTATGTTGTGATTAATCGCTTTCTTATTTATTGCGTGTATTGTAATAATGCGGATTTGCGTCCGAGTTTAGTAGAAGTTGTTGATACGGAAAAGTATTGTGCTATTAATTCGTGACTGTTGGAAAAGCCAAAAGACAAGACAGATGCTAAAATTTTTATCGAATACGGAAATGTATTGAGTGCTCTCCACTTGCACTTTCTCGAAAATAACACATATCATGTTTATCATTGCGTTCGCCCGCAGGACGCAATAGTACGTTGATGGACATACATCGAATGCATGAACAACGAAGGAACAATGAATGCGAATAGAACGAATAGAATGCGATACGTTGAAAGGATGTTTTTTTATATATAACTAATTTGATTTCGTATTCGCTGTTCATTCGTTCATTCGTTCTTCGGTCGTATAACATGTATAAATCAACTGAGAGTGATAAAAATGAGCGATGCTAACTCTTACTCGTTATTAGGGAGATTGAGACTCGTCGAATTCGTTGGCGAGATTCACCGGAATTGCATCTCAAATGATACGCGTAAATTGACGATGCCGCAACTCCGGAAAGAGCACTATGTTACTACACAGTTCCTCATTTCAACAACCAATTTAATTATTTATAATTAACAATGACGAATTGTGAACACTGAATAATAATCACAGACGGAGCCTGTGATCCTAGCTATAAATAACCGCGAAACATGTGATTAACATATAGTTTAAGGTGTAAGCCACAGGACTGACGGACTCTACTTATTATTTTATTAGCGCCTAATGTCTTTATGCGCGACGGAAACGAACAGGGGAACCGATGCGCACTCGGTGAATTTTGCTCTTTTTTTCCGTGTCTTTTTCCTTTTTGTACAATGGGGGTTTGTGATGCCAGCGAGAATGCTCAGATATTATTGTTATTCGTACAGCCGGTGGATCTTAGTGCCCGTATTAGCGCGCGCGCTGCCGACTGGAGGCTATTATTTTTATACATTTAATTAACGAGCGTAAATCGCGAAGGAGCAATGTAAACGGGCTGCGAAGGTGCAGCATCCTCCGATGGATATTAAAACGCTGTCGCTGTATTATATTTTATCTAGTTTAGATATGTCTTATCATGGATAGAATTATTAATTATTGTTTTACGAATACACACACCGACATATTTGTACATAGACGACGTCGCGATTTATTTAAATAAATTAGCTCTAATGTAAATAAATATTATCCGTAACGAATCTGCGATAATGTGATCCTATTAATAAAACGAAATTACTTGAAGATATCCATTTTCTGGTATGCAATTACCTAATGGTCCTCGTACAGATCCGTACGACTTTGACAGATTACCGCGTGCTTTTGTAAAGCAAGGTATATTCAACAGCACGCAAAATGTATATTACATTTCGTCATATTATAAGAGATCACTTTGCAATCACGCGTTATCGACGTGATCAACAAATTATCCGCCGTATTAATATCGAGATATGGAAGTATCGTCAAAATCTTTCAGTATCACGAGATAATAAAATAAAATAAAGATTTTAGATTTTAATAATACGTACTTCGATATTACTCACTACTTTTATGAGAAATTCGTGATAGATGGAAGATTTATGTTTTACTGGTGATCAAAGTTTACTTGAGACAAAGACTCACTTTCATTAACTTATCAAGGATATGTTGATCGAGGTAAATGTCACTTCCGATAAAGAGGAGCTGAAGAAGTTTATTATTTTTACTTTAAAGAAAAGTGCCGTTCTCTCACGTATTTTATTGAATTGCCAATGGAAGCTCGGGACGATTTATTTTTCCAGTCGTGCGAATATACGAATGACAAATAACATATTTCCTTCATTTATGCAGCGCAGCATTTCTCGCTAAAAGAAAATGCATTCCGATAAACAATTGCGCGGAAAACACATTGCTCGGCCGTTTCTGTTATCTTCGAGTAGCAGCGGATTTGCGTTTGTGGAATCCTTTTTTTAATGCAATGCAAAAAAATGACGTAGGTCAGAAAAAAACCGTTACAATTATGTATTTATACGCTAGTACTTTTCCTCGATAAGTATTTCAAGTTCACCTTGGCTGATCAAGAGACTCATTATGCAATCTACGCGAAAAATGGCTTCTTCGAGCGTAAAGTTGTTATTGTACACAGTTATATTTCACAATGAAACAGTAGCGCACTCACACTAGCGTGTTAAACGGCAAAGAATTATACCGTCGTTAACACACGACGGATGTCTCGCATTATTTCGGGAGACCGCGTAATTGCCGAGTACCACCGCAATTGCTGAAAAAAGATCGTTTATAGTTAAAAGACCGAAGTCTGCGCGGTGAGTGATTAAAAGTTAACTTACTAAATCCAAGAAAGAAAAACACCCCGCCGTTCCCTTTTAAATACAGGCTCGGGAATCTCGGTCTCCTTGCCGGTGTTTCGCGCGGAACACGGGCGATTTAAATCGATAATTCGCGACGACTTCGTACTCCTCGGATGTAAATGTCAAAAGTTACGAGGTAATTGTCCGTCCGTGTCTGACTTGAGTCGCATTGCGAAACCGCTGCTGCGCTTGAAAACCGTTGTGTCTCCCTCGGCGATCAGGTTGCGCGCGGATGCTCACCCGCCGGATTAAATGCCGCCTCTGCTAAACGGGTTTGCGTAGAGGCATTAATGCCACTGAACAAGCGGGTTAATAGATAGTTTATCGGCTGTCATCATTCGACGGGTGCGTCGCGCGGAATCCGCCGAGCGAGAGATCCGGATGCCTCGCGCTATCGAGGAGCTCCCGGGATGGCGGTAGACCTTGCGGAGTTCCAGGCAACGCGCGATAGGATCGACAAGTAAGATGTCTTGGGCATTAAATACGAGATGCGTATCTACATTCTCTCGATCGCGACGATGACGACAGGCCCCGCATCTCGAGGAGGCGAAACGCGGAAGACGTTGAGGCTGAACGGCAGATCCAGGAGGGCGAGTACGATCCCTTCGCCGATCGCCCGTCCGCACCTCTGACCTCGTACGTTTCGGCGGTATCTCTCCCCCCGACTCTCACGAATAGCCTATTCATTTCCTGTCGGGGTTTTATCTTGGTTGTTCAGTCGATTGCTTCGAGACAAAAATCGACACTTGGGCGAAGATCTAAATGTTAACACCTCAAGCTTACTCTCTAAAAATTAATCAGTGGATTGTCACTGAAAACAGTGAGTAGGCACTGATTTGCTGTTATAAGTATACCACTGGAAATCGCAGTGGTTCACTTACGCGATAAAGTTGTTGCAAAAAGCCATCGTGAGGAAAATTTTCGAACGCTCGTTGCTTAAAACCGTGCGTCATTAATTAAAAGCCCTGCTGAGACACGCGCGCCCTTACGAAAAAGTAACGAAATGATTACTAGAATGTATATCAGTAATTGAATCATTAGAAATTACTGTCATTTTCTAGCAATTATTTCGTCACTTTGCCGATCACGCACAATCTTAAACTAATAAGCAAACTAGCAATTCACAGTAAATTGAAAAAAGATTTTAAGATCTAGTACGAAAGAATACGTCATGCATCATAATTTCTTCTGTACATATCGCATCGTCAGTAAATGTGCGAGGTGCAGGATAAAGTGACACTAATCGCGACTGACGCATCGGGAAAAATGATCTCGGAATAAATTATGATGCAATTTTTTCGGTAAATGCGTAAATTGATAAGGTATCAGCCAATTCCATGTTATTAACAAGATCTCTTTAGCCTTAAATTTACACACTGAAAAAAATTTCTGGTTGAATATGGACGAATCAGATAATTCCTTTAGGATTTACCAGAATTCCTGTAATCCTACAGAAATTCTGGTAAATCCTAAAGGAATTCTGGTAAATCCTAAAGGAATTATCTGATTCGTCCATATTCAACCAGAAATTTTTTTCAGTACATGCTTTCAAATCTTCTTAAGTCATTGGAAGATAACTTTCAAAATCATATCGTAGTCTATTCATTTCTTGCCCGGATTTTATCTTGGCTATTCAGTCGATTGCCTCGAGACAAGAATCGATACTTGTGTTTACGTAAACCTTTAGAGACCCAAAATACTAACGGCCCAAGCCCGCACGTGACAAGACTAGCGCAAAAAACTGGTTATGGGAAATTTTTCACCGGCTCGTTTGCTCCGAACCGCGACGTCGTTTTCTCTCGCCACCGAAATTTTTCATTAAGTTCGCTGATTAAAACTTTTATTTTTACCAGAATTTTTTAAGAACACAATACGTTAAATCGCGCACCACTCAATATTTTTAATCCAACATTCGTACGTTTTTATAAATTGCGCGAAATGCGTTTATCGCGGTGAATTCTCTGAATTTGTCGCGAAATTAATAAGGATTAACGATTGAATATTATCTTATTTATTATAATCGGTTAGCAAGATATCGATAAGCAAACAGGAAGGTTATCGCACTCACATTGTTCGCGATAAAACCGTTACAGAGATTTCGCGGTGTTCATGCATCTGCTGAAGTGCGCGATCGGCACCGGCATCCTCTTCCTGCCGCACGCCTTCAGAAGGACCGGCTACGCGGTGTCCGTCGTCTGCGGCATCGTCATCGGCGCACTGTGCATTCACGCGGCCGGCATTATCGTACGTGAGGATTACGAAAAGAGCGTTTCGAAAAAAAAGAATAACAATTAGCGAGAAACGAAAGTAGAGAGAGCGAGAGTTTAAGACTCGCCCTTACGCCGCGATGACTCAATTGTTTGCGGATCGGCGCCGCGCCGATGAGATAAGCCATTAAACATAGAGGGAAAGGAAGGTCCGGGTCGCGCAAGGCGCATCCGAATGCAGGCGGGTCTCTCTTTCTTTTTGGTGTGCAGGTACAATGCTCCCAGGCGTTATGCAGGCGCAATCGCGTGCCCATGCTGGATTTTGCCGAAACGGCGCAGTTCTCCTTCCAGGCGGGCCCGGAGAGGATTCGAAAGTACGCCAGGCTATTCGGCGTAGCTACCAACGTGATCATTTGCTTCGTGCACTTTCAGGCCGCCGTGATATACATCTTGTACGTGGCCACGTCGTTCCAGCAGGTACGACACAGCGCCGCGGCAGCCACCGTGCCGGAAGTTGGGACGATAAAGCCGGCACTCGTGACGTCCGCTCGGCGATTTTTACGAATGAATATCCTTTTACGTCGGGCATCCCCGTCACGGTCGGCCTGAATTTTAACGATTCCCCGATGACGAAACCGCAGCCGTCTCTCCGTTTCAGGTCCTCCGCTACCACCGCGGGCCTGTACCCGGAAATTACAGCTCCGTGTTTGAATTAAGGAAACATCGGCCAGAGATTGCTCGAGAAGCATCTTATTACAACCTTAGACCGCAATTTTATCTCACTCGCGTCGGTGGCTTCATATTCTATTGTCGCAAACACAGCGGAGATTATATATAAGGGCAAACAGAGAGATACGGCGCGGCGAAGTTGCGGGAAATCGGTATCTTTGAAAAAGTGCGATTACGAGCACTTTCCACGATCAAGTTTTCGCGCGTTTCGATACAGCCTCGGACAGCTCTTAGGGATAGGAAATTGGCATTACGTAACGCGCGCCTCGCGGTATTTCCAGGTGATAGAATTTTTCTCGGGCCTCGAGATGAACCCGCGCGTCTACGTCGTCATCTTCTTTCCCTTCACCTGCGCCCTGGGCTTCGTGCCGAACCTCAAGTATCTGGCACCGTTCTCCGTTATCGGCACTTTCTTCCTGTTCCTCGGGGTCTGCATCGCGGTTTACTACTTCCTGGACGACGTTCCCGATCCCCATAGACTCGACGCGCTGACGGAAGTCCTACCCGTGCCCATGTACTGCGCCATTTTCCTGTTCGCCTTGCACAACGTGACCCTGTACTTGCCGCTGGAGAACACGATGAGACATCCCGGTCATATGCCGCGCCTGATCGTCGCCAGCACGTCGTTTAACATCGTCATATATCTGGCTTTTGGTTTTCTCGGCTACAACAAGTATCCGGATGCCTGCGACACCGTCATCAAGAACCTACCAATGGAGGAGACGTAGGTGGATTAATTTCTGCCTTGCGAAATACTCGCGCCACCGCCTCTGTCCGTATTTAATTAATACTTTAATGTTGAACCCCTATTTCAGGCATATTTCTCTCCCTTTCTCTTTCTCCTTCGATCAATCATAGTTAATTATATTTAGATCGAAAAACTGCTGGCTTTACATGCCATTCGCAAACACGAAATCTTGGAAGAAATTACATCAGTTTCTTGCGCAAATAAAATTTGTTATTTGGCAGGAATTGCAAATAAATCGTTATCAAAGGCAATTAAACTGTGCATTAACGTAGACAATCGGCAAATATGTCGGCTGCCTGTTTTAAATGACAGCTGTATAATTAACATCGCGTAATCGGTGATCGCAGAACAGGATGTGCTTAACATTTGCGTGATCGCGCGCCGCTCCCCACGCGTTCAGTATCCTCGATTCGTTTTGTACTTGTCGTAAGAATCACCTAGAATAGACGACGCATCCACGGAGCGAGTCCTTCGAATAACTTAAATTTAACAAAAGCGAAACGAATCAGCGAACCGTAGCAAAGAAATACGCAACGTGCAAATCAGGGTCAGTTTGACCACCGCGTGAACGCGAAGGACTCGAAACTAGTTTACGGACAATCTCAGTTGAATTATCGTAGTCATCGCGTCTGGACAATCGCGATCTGGCGATTTTATGTGTCGTTAAGTACGATATATCGCTGCGGCATTCTAGGAATTGTCCGGTCGCAATTCGTGTCACGATTGATACACCTTGATATCGCACGTGTTATTAATTCGATCGTTTAGCTGTACGTAATGAGTAACATTACGTATCAACTACACGGAGAGAATTTTCTCTTAATAAAATTGAAATTTTATCATACATTTTACTAGTAATTATCCTCAGTATACACTTTATTACACTGATAAAAAAATATCTTAATCCAAAAAAATATTACTTTACTCAAGAAAATTATTCATTAGGTGGCTCCTAATAGCTTATTAACTTAAATTTAAAAAATAATAAGCAAATTAAAACATACATCGCCTTAGCAACGTCAGTATTTTCTTGACACCTGGCATTTTTAATGATACAGAAAACTTATTGCGAAAAATATATTACAAACTACATTTTCGCAATAAATTTTCTGTATTATTAAAAATGCCAGGTATAGTCAAGAAAATACTGACGTTGTTAATTATCGCTGGCGACATTGAAGAATTCTTATTAGTACATTGCTTTAATTTAAGTATTTATTAAATATCAAAGAATAGATCATTTTAAATTGAAAACATTTTATTTTAATTCTATAAAATGCTTACTAAGATGTAATTTTCGCAGCGACGTTCTACGATTACATGATTTTCAGGATAAATTTTAAGAGAAAATTCTCTCCGCGAATTAACACGTGTTTACTAAGACACTTTATAATTTTGTTATGGAATTTCTCTCGTGATCGTATACATCTCGTTGTCGATTGTAAATGAATAAAGTTATGACCGCGTTTCTCCGACGGTGCTGCAGCACTTTGAAATTCACAAAATAATTTCAACATTTCTGAATGTGTAATCGGCGGCTATTCTTTCGTCATAATTTTAAATGCGCGAAAATACCGCGATATCTTAATTCTACTTGAGCATTAATCTAAATCTCCCACTATTGATCTCGCACTATTGATATTGAATGATTGCGTTGTGAATCGATGAGAGGGAAGAAGAAAGAGGAGAGCGTACTATTGCCGTATCTCGAAATCGCGAGATTGCCTCACGACAAGTTCTTAGATTCGAATCGGCCGCAGACGTCCCAAAATCGCAATTCACGGCCCATCTGACTTAACGATCGTTTTCACACTGTACTTCCGCAGCCTGGCCCAGGTAGTCAAGATAGCCATTTCCTTGTCGGTCCTGTTTACCTTCGGCCTGGCGTACCACGTCCCGATCAGCGTGCTGTGGCCCATGATCCGCTCGAGAATCGTCACGAAGAGCACGCTGCATCAGCGACTGTGCGAGAGCTCGCTCCGATTAGGCGGCGTGATGGGCACCAGTAAGCGTATTCGCGATTACGAGCGCTCGATGGCACGAATGTTGAGTGTAATTGCCAGGAAGTAACTCGTCCTTGTCCTTCTTTCTGTCCGCAGCGCTGCTGGCCATCGCCGTGCCCCAAATGGTACCCTTGCTGGGCCTGTTCTCCGCCTTGGGCACGTCGACGATCATGCTGCTGATACCCATACTAATCGAGACGTCGACTAAGTGGGCGGAAGCCACGAGGACGATGCTCGTGAAGAACATCGCTATTTTCGTCGTCTGGCTGTTGATCTTGGTGCGACTTTTCTCACGCGGAAAAAAAAAGATGTATCAACAAGTCGGTGCAATTGAAACAAAATCGTTGACAACATCAGTATATTAATGAATAAAAGACGTCAGTTGTCTCAATAATCTGGATATTTAGCTCGGTGCTTACAAGTAAAATCCATAGCAAATGAATTATTTATGTCCGTGGCAGCCCGTAACGTTAATGTTCAATTCAAGCAACTTTATTATTTTAAATTCAACAGCATTTTTTCCCGTGCGGAGACACGCGAAGAATCCTATCGCAGGCTGATATTTCGTAAAAATGCGGAAAAATTTATTTCACCTCGCATTTTCCAAGGAGTAGTTTAGTTTTTTTTAGTTTAGCTTTTCCACATTTTTAACAGTTTGTCTCGGTCCCTCGGGTCTTCAATGAATTCTCCTCAGGAAATAGGAACTTCAGCTTTGAGATTTATCGGTTTTCTTTTTCAATTTAATCGCTCGTGAGATTATCGAGTATATATAAATAATGTTATTGTTTGTCCGAGACGGCAATGTCATCTTAATACGCGCGCCCGTAATCTTGAACTGATGCAATACCCACCTGTGTTACTTTGCAGATTTTCGGGACGATAGAGAGTACTTGGTCAATTGTTAGAGAATACAGCGGGACGAGGCGGGAAAAGTGTTGATCGATAGCTTGTCGATCGCTACTTGAGGGACCCCCGGCACAAAATTACGAAGCGGCTTCCCGCGACAATCCAACGTACTACGCAAAACGGACTGATGTCACTTGAGGACGCGGAGAGCGAAATGCGATGTTACGATAAGAGACGAAGGACTCGCCGGAGCAGCGAAGCGAAAGGATGACAAAGGTGGACAAAATACGCAGGAATTCTTTGTAACAATGCCCCCTGATTACACCTGCTTTCCGGGACACCGCGGTTCTGTGTCGGAAGAGAATATCTCACGCTCCGTTCGTTACGAGACCATTTCAGCCCGTGTGTACCGGCGTCACGAGGGTGACGTATCTCGGCCGTTCTTTTCCCTGCGAATTTCTCGCGTCTAAATGCCCGAGATCAACGTGACTGATACGCCGACCGGTATCGAGGACCCTTAATTTCCGTAAAGATTGGAATGTGGCACTTGCGACATTCCGAAGGAGACGGGGGGGGGAAGGGGGGGAAAGGGATACCTTTAATTTCCCTCGGCCGGCGTTTACGTAACGCGCGGCACGAAGCGGAGTTACGCCGCTCGCAATGTGGAACAAGAGCGGCGGTAGCCTACAATGAGAAACTGCACCGCGGCGCAACAGCGTTCCGGAGAAGGTGGGAGATCGCCGAGGACCTTCTTGCGAGAGGACGAAGAGAGACGGCGAGCGCGCGCGCCCTGCGAACGGAGGAGGATGAGGATAAGGTGAAAGGGAAACGCGTAAGATGCAGAGGCGCGAATCGAAGCTGATTCGCACAGTCGAATAGCCGACGTCCCGATGTGTACGAAACTCGAGGACGGCTACTCGACGTAGTATTCCTCAGACGCCGGAGAGGTGTCGACGATTTCTGATCCGAGTGGCTCGCCGCGTCCGTTTATTTCTCCTCTCTTTTCGCCGATCCTTGGACTCTAAAGTGCCGTTAATCAATTAATTACGCGGTAAACGCTATCGCCAACGCACGAGCGAGGACAAACGCGCAATGGGATAGAGAAGCGGAAGCGGTACCGCAAGGATTAGGTGGAGGGAAAAACGTGAAAGCGGAAAGCGATCCGATGGTTGTACGGGCTGTTGATGTGCGCCGCTTCGACGTATAATTTCGGACGTTGTTATCGTCTACGCTCTCGGAACGATTGTCCATTCATGAATTCGCAAACATCGAGGTATCTTCGAGAATTCAAATAATATTTTGCAAGTGCGGTTTCCTTAAATATTTTGTTATCAAATTCCCTCACAATTATTTAGCACTCGGCGCGTTCTATATTCGTTCCCCGGTTCGACAATATTTTCGACCTTATAACTCCTAGCCATTGGACGATTTTTCCCATTTGTGTCGAAATTTGTACTTGACAACAATCCCATCAATCCCCCCCCCCCCCAAAAATACAAACGAACTATCATCCGTCCTCTCGTTTGTTTTATGATTGTACGAATTAATATTGCAGACCCGGACAAATATTTGACTCAACTCTCCGAGCTACGTCAGTCCGTGATATTTAAACTCTTGGCGACGTGAAATCCCACGTCCATCAATCGACGGGGCAATTTTTTAGCTACGATATTGGCAAGCAAACCCACTGGCTTTGATCGCCGTCACACCGTTTATCGTGCACACTCCAAAGCAACGTCGAATCGGGTACATTACGTGCTGTCACTATCTACTCCCTCCCTTCCTGGTGTACTCGCACGAGCGAGGAAGCTCATACTCGCGGTAGTCACTCACGTGTATTGACTGTCCGTATATATATACCTGGCTAACGCCAAGGCAGTTGCCCAGTCGTGTGCGGTCTGTCACCGTTTCACGTTAATTTCGTCTCGCTGCTCGCCGTTACCGCCTCCCACCCTCGGTGACAGGCCAGAAAGAAGGAGCCCAGCATCCCGCGAAATCGACGAAAGTTATTTATCTATCCATCATCCCGCGTTCGTCGACCACTTAGCGGTCTCTGGCGGCGAGAAGTCATCAATCTTCCGGATGATTACGCGCGCTGATAACGTCTCCGCCGTCGCGAGAATAAACCCCGGGATCGCGCGGAAACCATTGTCGGCGATAATTTTCGATGGGATTCAAGGACATCGCCCACGGACGAGCTATTAGAGACAATTGATCTCGGAGCCGCAAAGTTCTTCATGGTGGAGCCACGCACGAGTTCCCATCGTTATCGAGGTGAAATCTACCCGATCGTCACCTCGCAGCGCGAGCGTGCGATCTTCGAATTACTTCCGATCTTGCTGAGAGATTCGCGCGGCGCGAATTCGCGACGCTGATAAAATAGGTACAGTAGCCCACCGATCAGGATCAACCGGGCATTGTCTCTTTGCGCAATTGTATATAAGCGCCAGGGATTCGTCGGGATCGCGATTCGTCTGGATTTTGCCTGGGAACCTTGTAAATCACACCTGGATAGCTTTAACAATCCGCTGATAAATAATTATCTCGTTATATTACAAATACAATAGCCTTTAAGAGAAAAAGAAGGCAGTAGGGTACGAGACCTTGGATAGAACAGTTCTCGCTCGACTGGAGCTCACGTGACCGTTTCGTGCTCCAAAAGAGGGAAAATAGAAAGAGACCGAGAGAAAATAAAGGCTTTTGAGTAAGCGAGAGATTGCGTCCGAAAAAGAAAACGTTGAGTTAAACGGAAGGATCGATATTTTTATTTGGGCGAGGTGACAATGTGAATCTGGAGGATTCAGCGTACCACAACGTCATCAGAGAGAGAGAGAGAGAAATTAACGTCCTTTGTGAATCAAGCATCTGTGTTCGCGTCCACGTCTCAATACGCAAGAGTAAGTACATCGCAAATGTATTCGAGAAAATTTATGAAAATTGACTTTATTACATAAATAGTCGCAACCCGAAGGTTGTAACAAAGATCATAACTTACAAATGACTTGTTTATGTAAGGATGTATTTACGCTCGGAGAAAACAAACTAGTTCCGCCACTTGTAATGTGATAACTCTGGGATTAAAATATTGGCAACTAATTTTTATAAAGTCATGACAACGAGAATAAGTTTTTGTGAATTATCAAAATGTACTCGCGGCAGCAAACGTTGAATCTTAATATTATTTCATTAATATGTAATAATTATATGTTACTTAAATAGTAATAAATTTTAAATCTTCTATAATGGTAAAATGGCAAAACAATTCTGATATAATTATAGGCTTTGTACAATAAGCTATGATAATTAATTATATTCTTTTAATGTAGACGAATATTTTTCTGAAATCAGTCATTATGTCATGATAACAAATCATGATACATTTTCAGCGTTAATAATACATTTTTCGCCAATAAAACTCTTATTTACTTTTTTTTGTAATTTATCTCACCATATTTGCTGTAAGCGGTTGACATTGTTATGTTTCCTTAATTCGTACAACTCATTCTTTTTACTGCGATTTTATAATTGAGATGTTAATTCTCCTTAACTTTCTAGTTGGTGGTACATGTTTTTCCTGTGTGTGCTTTGCCTGAACTTGTTACGTTATAGTTGATAAGCTATCAACACATAAGCAATAAGCAAAAAAGTGACGCAAATATACTTCTTTTTCCATTTAAAAATCCGTAGATTAAAATTTACCTGCACCCGACAGATAAACGAGATGAACATTTTTCTGATTATATGTGCAGATTTGTTTGGGATATTTACGATTTTTATGAGTGACTTTAATGACCGACTTTGACAGAGTTATGTTGTAAGATAAAATCTTTGTAAAGTATCGTACATATCGAAAAATAACTTGAAAACAATTTTAGTGGTTCTCAATTTTTTTTTGTAAATGCAAGTTAATAAAAATTTACAAAGACTCTTTATTGTTAAAAAAGTTTTCAATATATTTTAACGTAAAATACACAAAAGTAATTATTAAATATTTTCGACACTTTAATGCTTTTTCTGAAATAATTAAGTATTTCTGATTAGGGAGAAGTTTTTGGTAAAACTCGTCTTATTAAAATTCAACACAAAGATGTATACATAAAATATTCCCAGTGAACATCGATTACATTGCACTTGTGTTGCAATTTCTCACTCAACAATGTAAATATAATACATGTGTTATATTACATTTATATTGTTGAGTGAGAAATTGTAACATAAATACAATGTAATTGACGCTCGGTGTTTGCTGTATTACTGTATTGCATATACGAATTGTGATAAGCATTCATGAATGCCGCGCTAATATTTTTCAAGGGATAGAATGACGCGCAAATGACAACTACGTTTATTAATATTATTATAAAGAAATCGTATCACAGTAGGGATTTAGCCTGTAAGCTGAAAACAAACTCGAGCGATAACAATCTAGATAGGCTACGTGATCGATAAAAGAATACCATTGATTTAAGATGGACCAGTTAGCTCGTTACCCTCCTCCGCATTAACATACGATGAATTATTAATACGATTCGATAAAAACGTGTGAAGAACAATATTTACATATTTGTACTTGTAATCATCATTGTAGATATTTGTGTTTTATCAACTATCAAATATCGGTTATCGCGTATTGAAAGCGACGAAAATTGCTCGCGAAACCTTTCAGAAAGCAATAAGATTTCAAAGATACTTCGTTCTGCGATAAAACACTTTAAGCAATGTAAAGTGATTGTGTCAACTGAGTTGCTTGAAAAATTTAATCGCGTGGTTAGCTGGTTATTCCGTCTGCAGTAAATTATTGGAATAATACAAGCACTAGACCGTTGAATACAAGTAAATATATTTTACAGGAACTTACAACATATTATCGGCAGTTTTTTGTGTAAGTAATCTTAACTTGTGAAAGTTAGAAAGTCACAACTATCAGACTGTTCAATTTTTTTGCCATAAAAGATAAAAATAATATCCTTTGTAATAATGAGCTGACTTGCACTCTGTGTACAAGAGAGATAATACAATCTATTGTATCTAAAATAGCAATTATTCAAATAATCACTTCTTGAATGTTGAAGACAATTATACAACGGGCAATTATACTTTGTAACAAATTAGTGCAAAAGTTATGACGGTTAAAGGTGTATCATATATTATTTGCGCTGGAAATAATAAGAACTGCGTCCACTTGACTCGGTCCTTGATATAAAGCTTATCTGTAAGACTTCTGCGAAGTAATCTATCTCGCTTGATCTAATTTACTGATTAACTTGTAACGAATCGTTACGATTGGCAAAATATACTGACAAGTTTACATCATATCTCAACGTGACGTATTAGTGATAATTAGAAGTAAAAATAATATATATATCTCATTTTGAAGAGAAATTCTTTCTCGCTCTTTGTCGACACCGCACCAGTTGGTGCGTTAATCAAATTATTACACCGTTTAAACCTTTAATCGAATTTAATTATTCTACAGTTTTAAAGTATTCATGAAAATTGCATAATAGATTTGTAGACACAATTAATTATTGCAAGTTGCACCGTAGATTGTCCTTGCGTATTGCCGGCATTATTCTTTGCTCTTCGTGGAATATGTATGAGATGTAGTTTCAATCACGCGAGTCCTTCACGACGTTGACGTCTCTCGTGCTCGTTGAAATGATCAAGGCTCTCTCTTCCGAGGATCCACGTACATTCAGGTCCGTTTATTACTGAGCTCACTCTGCGGATTCGTTCGCGTAATATCAAGTCATTTCCCTGCCGCTTTTACGTAAAATGGCGAAAGTAGATCAAGAATCGGTCGCTATCGGCTGCAATCTTGAGCGCAGGGAGCCGTCTTGCACAACTCTGACTTTTTTTATCTCCCATTAATTTCCCATGCGAATCTCGGGTGGTCTGTCGGGTCGCAATCCACGATGAATTTTCGTCACCGGTTTCGTCGAAACAGCGCGCATGGTTTTTATTGGCAAAGAAACTTTGGAGAAACTTTTGAGAAAATTGGTCAAGGTGAAGCATCATATAACGACCATCTGTCAGATGTATATCGTGTATATTGTACCTATCCTATCTTAGATCAGCTGTCTCTTTTTACGTAACTGACCACTTTTGTCGATAAATCTTTAGAAACTTCCATGCCTCTTTACCGTGTAATTTTTCATATCCAAATTCTCTTTTCGTGTCTCAGTAAATCTGATAAAATTGACGAGCGATAATAATTGAGCGCAAGCCTTGAACTAATTGTTGCAATTCACTGATAAATTTTCAAACAATTTTTCACAGAGCTTATTATTGTCTTGTCAAGTTCTTGCACCCGATTAAACAAAATCGACATTTAATCATTTTATCGATCGTTTCTTTATTTAGAGAGTTATTTTAATTAGTGGCAAATTAAAAGTGATGTGTATCCAAGATTTCGTTGCAGCGTGTTAATCTTATTAAACAGTAATTTCATAGAAATTCGCGGATTTCCGTAGCTCAGGTATTTGTTAATACCGACTCATACAACTATGATAAACGAAGTAATATATTATATCAGTTCTCATAATCCAGAACGTGACATGGCTTTGATTGACATTAGCCTTAGCAAGAATGTTAATAATGCAACTATGGTTAATAATCCAATCTTTAAAAAGAATTGTTCGACGACTTTAGGCTGGCAGATGGTTTCTTTATTTAAATCCGACGTTTCGACCATACGGGTTGTGGTCCTTCTCAAGGAATTCAACAATAATATTACGTCACTGACACTAATCTAAAAAGCACAGGAGTTTGATATTCATCTCTGGGCGTCACTCGGAGAATTATGTTAGAAGGCACGTCCCTCCGATGTAAGGACCACAATAGGACAGGCCCAGAAATGAATGTCAAACTCCTGTGCTTTGTAGTTTAGTATCCATGACGTAATAGTTTTGTTGAATTCCTTGAGAATGACCACAACCTGTATGGTCGCAACGTCGGATTTAAATAAAGAAACCATCTGCCAGCCTAAAGTCGTCTAACAATTCTTTGTATCGTTAATCAACTACTGGCGATTCACATTGTGTCGTTGTTAATATAATCTTTATTACTGTAACTTCTTTTTCTGCGATAAGATATGCAAACACGATCAGTATAAGAACTTTACCGACGTAATATCGATAACTAAATATAATTTTACAATCGCCCACATGGTAATGGCGTATTTCTTCTTTCGAAAGGTTCACGGATTACTATACGGATTCGTATCGGTATAAAAATCGTGGTCAGCCAGAATTTGTTTAACTGATTGTTTCATATTTACAATATGATATGGCAACGAGGAAGCCTTCCGTTTCCAAACAGCAATTGATCCGATAACGCCTTATCTCATTCGATGCGCCAGCAATTCATTTTGCGTCTAAGATTATCGATTTTTCATATCATTAACGAAAATTAAAAGACAGGACTGATACGAGTGTTAACGTTATAATAACGTATGCTTTGTTAGTACAATGAGATATAATTTCCAAATATGTTTTCATGCTTATACCCGGTAGGCTTATAAAAATAAGTGATTTATTTATTTACCTTATTCTATAACAATTAATTAATATTACCAAATGACGTAATAATTCATGTTTGTATCATGTCGTAATTTAATTATTATTACGTATGTAATTATGTATATATAAGTATAATATTGTTCTCTCAATTTTCTATATAATATTGTTTTTCTTGTCACAGGATCGCCATGGGTCGAGCAGAGAAAGAACAATCGGGCAATCCTATGACGGAATTCAGTAGCAGGTACTTGCGTCATTAATGTTCAATTATGTCTTATTTGCGCGTTAATCCAAGCAACAAAATATACAAACATCGATTAGAATGTAAATTTCGTTGGTCCCATCGCAAACGATCTTGTTGATACTATTCGTGCACGATAACGAAAATCGTGCAGATAACAATTTAAGTGCATGATAGACAACGGCTTTCTTAATGAGCAGAGTCATCCTTAAACGATAAACTTCAATCGCCGATAACGCGGCTTCTGTATACGCAGTGTCTGCAAAAGTAATCATTATCGATCAAGAATAATCACCGTGGAATGCGATTATATCGCGTTTTACGCGGAGATAGGAAGCGCGTTGTACAAACTCAGTTTTTCCCTGTAACACTTGATTGAAATTGTTAACGTTTTTTTCTTGTTAACGTTTATTATCAAATCTCGGTAGATAGCGTGACAAATGACACTGCAAAAATTTTCGTTTAAGAGTCTCCCTGAAAGCGCCCCGTTTAAAATTATGTGTAACACAATATCTGGTAGTGCAATTTTTATTGGAAATTAATTTATTACAATGTGTCGAATTCGTATTGAAAAAGTAAGAGATCTCGATAACAAGAAATTTTAGGAAAGAATATCTTTCATTACGCACTCTCTCTAATTCTCCCACAATTCCAAATGTAACAACATATACACAGAGGACAGTTTTCTGTTATGAGATAGATTTCTGTTACGAGATAGCAAGTTTTCAACACCTAAATTTAATCACAAATCTTTTTTTTTCGCAACAATTACACAAGCTAACAATAAATTCTCCACTAAACAGATTTCGCCCCAATAGCATCATGGTAGAATGAACTGATGCCTATTAAGTCAATAGAAACACCCGCTACCTCATATTAGAATCCTATCTCATAATAGGGGACTTTCCTCTGTATACAGTAAGCAATCAACAGATTGGCGACATATTCGACAGACTGTCGACAGTCATCTGTGTGTCTAATCTGTTAACATTTTGTCGACAGAGTCTGTTGATACAGATTCGCAGAAAGCTGATAAATTCTGTCGTTTCATGGATTATTAAAATCAAATCGAATTTTTCTAGTTTATAGGAAATAAATAATACAATGTGAGAAAAGTTATTTATTGTTTAAAGTGTGTAAACAATAAATAATGTACGACGCGTTTGCCGCTTTTCTCACCAATTTATTATCAAAGTCCGTAGCCTTTCTGCCAACAAAAACTGCTAGCAGGCTCTGTTTTACAGTTTAGCTCTCTGGTTATATATGTACATATATGTACATCTTATTGTATTTAATTCAATGTCTTGTATAATTGTGCTTTTTCGTTTTTAGCACGAAGATCGCACCGAGTATCGGTGAATATAAAGAAAAGGATGAACTGCACTACGATCCTTTCGAGCATCGTGACAAGCAACATGCAACATCGTAAGCACAAGTTTAGCATTTTTATCAGCAAATTGAGGTGCATTTTGAATAATTTAACGTTAAAGTATTCTGCGTTACAATATTTATCTTCATATGTTTCAATGTATATGTTAAAGATAAAACACGTGTATCTTGATACATATGTTTTATCTTTAACATATACATAGGCGTAATAATATACCTACGTACAAAGTTATTGAAATTACAGTTTCTTACTTCAAATATATGTTATATAATAAGTTAAACATACAGTTATTTTTTTTAATTGACGAACATTTTTGTGATTTGATAAATATTTGCTTAGCAGCCCGTAATTGCCTTTTTTCAAATATTTCTTGATTCAACGCCTTTTTCTCAGTGCGCTCTCTTAAAGTTAATAGAAATTATTAATGGATTGTTCGATTTGCAGTGCTATAACTATGATCAGTGACTACTCACTGCTTTTCAGTGATAATCCACTGGTTAACTTTAAGAGAGTTTATTTATTTAAAAAATGATCATATCTTCCCGCAATAGGAATAAATTCATTTACATCATTTATACAGGGGGTGTCCATCCGCACGTATACAGGTAGAGGGGGTTCAACTAAAGAGAAAAGCTATACACTATTTTGTAAAATTCCCAATAGTTATCGAGTAATTAATTGAAACGTTTGAGTATTTAACAGTTATGTGTTTCACGAACACAAGATTCATCTAGTCTCAGGCTAAGAAGATACAATTCATTCCTATCTCGTTCAATTAAATCCCAAGCAAACGGCAAGTAATAGCTTCACAACACATGTGTGTTATTACATTTACATTGCTAAGTAGGAAGTTATATTAGTGTTATGTAACTATTGCTTGGTGTTTACTAGGATTTTATTGGTACTCGCGTAAATTTAAATAATCGATCGAACTTTACACATGTACGTATATCGTAAACCCCAGTGGAATTAGTAACGCAACTTAACGTTTCATCACGCGTTTCAGGGATTTGGGTTCCTTGACGCATCTCCTCAAGTCGTCTCTGGGAACGGGAATCCTGGCCATGCCGCACGCAATAAAGAACGGCGGGCTGCTGTTCGGCGGGGTCGGCACGATCATAATCGGCATGATTTGCGCGCATTGCGTGCACATACTGGTGCGTACGTCTCACGTGCTCTGCCGGCGCACCAAGACGCCGAGTCTGTCGTATGCCGAGACAGCGTACGCGGCCTTCCTCTGTGGACCGAAGCCGATCAGGCCTTGGGCCAACGGCAGCAAGATATTCGTGAACACAGCACTGTGTGCGACTTACGTGGGCGGCTCATGTGTTTACGTCGTGTTTATTGCCAAGTCCATTGAGCAGGTATGCACCTTGTATAATTCATGACTGCGAAATCGTATATCTATGCTAAGACGTGACGAGCTCAATTTTGTTAATACATTTTTGCCTCATTCCGCTATAACAATCGGCTAAGGTGCGGCAAAATTACGCAATCTAATATGAGTCTAATGAAACTGGAAGGAATTACCATATTTGTCATGTGAATTATTTCCCGTTTCATTTACCGTAAATTAAATATACAGCGATGAAGTCGATGAGATGGTGACTGAGGAGGAGAGCTCATGTTCACGTTAATAACTCGGAGATATCTTATATAAATTACAATTCAAGGTCAATTTGATGAATTAACTGACGTTCTGCAATTTTTACGATACCGAATAAATATTTTTTCAACACACGATGATTACTGCACTCTTTAATCGGCAGATAACTTTAATTTAATTTATATGTATTTCTGTTATTCTTAGAGAAGCAATAACACAAATATATATTTGATAATACAACGATAATTGCGTGGTTTATCAGATATCTTAGATTGTAATTATTGTTAACAGTTCTTTTATTATTTTTATATAACATTATAAAATTCTTACTCCGTTATTTGTAATTACTGATTGTATATCGCAAACACATTATCTACCTTCTACTTACGTTGAAACTTTAATTGATCAAAGATTTTTTTGATGAATGTCATGATAATTTTTGTTCTCTAAAGTACAGAAATTAGCCTTGCTCTTCTCGTTTTAAAAAATGTTTGAGAAAATTATAACTCACGTTATTGTACAATTAGAAGAGTTCAAACAATAGAGATAGCGACAATTTTAATTTTTAAAACACATACGTAGACACGGAGTTACGGAAACTTAAAGTATTAAATGTTTTATTATTTTAAGCCAGTTTCATAAACGTCGGTTAACTGTTAACCAAAGTTCAGTCAACTCCCTGTCTTTTGCTATCTTATTATCTAAGAAGAGACAGAGAATCAATTAACCTTCGGTTAGCAGTTAACCGACGTTTGTGAAACTGGCCTTTAAACAATGCGGTAATAAGGAGGAAGTAAATAATATATCGATCGTGCATCGCGTTCTGGAGGGACAGTTCTACTTGTTCCCTTTTGCTCTCACTCGCTCCCTTCGCGAGCCCTCGCACGAGTCGCATGACCGAGTCGAGCTTCCATATCACCGCTGTGCGTCTCTTTTTTTCAGATCGTGAATTTTTATACGGGGAGGACGGAAATAGACGTAGAGGCAGGGAGGGGAGTGGACATACAATTCTGCATCCTCTCGCTGATCCCGGCATTGGTACTGCTCGGTCAAGTGCGCGATTTGAAATATATGGTGCCGTTCTCGACACTGGCGAATCTCTTCATGTTGACCGGCTTCTCAATCACGCTCTACTACATCTTCAGTAGTAGCAGTCTGCAGTCGTTGGAGAACAAGAAGCTGATCGCCACACCGGGAGAACTGCCCCGTTTCTTCGCGACTGTGATATTCGCCATCGAAGGTATCGGCGTTGTAAGTTCCAATGACCATTGCCACGGTGACGATTAGTATTAGTAAACGCGAATGACTGATCGTCGCAGGCGTAGGTGGTTCTTTATTTAGTCGGGAAGAATAACGAAGAATTAAAGTATAGTCCGATACAGGAGAGCAACCGCTGTACGCTTTTACAAGCGGATAATTCGCACTTACAAATCGCACTTCCCTCTCGCGTCTTTCGCATCCTTGAGCGCTTCCCGAACCCGGTACGATTGTAATCGCAGGTGATGCCGGTGGCGAACAACATGAAGAGTCCGCAGCACTTCCTAGGATGTCCTGGCGTGCTCAACGTCACGATGACGATAGTTGTCTGCCTATACGCCATGATGGGGGTGTGCGGTTACCTCGCGTACGGCGAGCATGCTCGGCCTAGCATCACGTTGAATTTACCAACGGAAGAGATGTAAGTAGACACACATCCTTTGCTAAACGTTAGTATGTCGACACGCGCGCCGTAGACTGACGAAAAGCGATGTTTCAGTCCAGCCCAAGTGGTGAAGATCCTCATTGCCGCGGCCGTTCTCTTTACTTACGGTCTGCAGCTCTTCGTGCCGCTCGAGATCATATGGAACTCCATGAAGCACTTGTTCAGCCATAAGTATGCAGCCATCGGCGAGACGTTCATGAGGATATGCATAGTTATGATAACAGGTAAAGTGCCTTGTATCATGCGGATGCAAAGATGTTACTTTAAAGGTCATTCTATATTAGCCGCGAGCGCTGCAACGAGGGATTCAATCAATTGAATCCCTCATTGCAACGCTTGCAACTGCGATTGCGAGTAATGTAAAGTGACCTTAACCGTTACCAGGGTTGGGAAGTAACTCGTACATTTTTTCGATAACTAGTGGCTAATTTAATTTTTAAACCTCCACAAGATCGTATCGGGCCTTGGCATTTGTGCATAAATGCCATTATCGACACTTTACAGTTCAAATGCAGATTTGATATTTTTATTTTCATTGCAAGAAGGCAACTGGAAAGTAACGACTCGTTTCTTTCTGAGTGAACTGTAACTAGTTACATTCCTAGCGAAAAAAAAACTGTAACTCGGAATAGCTTAATTGTATAGCTAAACAAATGATTGAAGTGATTGAAGATGACTTCAGCCGAGAGAATTCTAATGCAATTTTACAAGTCCCCTATTAGGAGATAGGTTCCCAATATGAGATAGCAGGTTTTTAACGTCCAAATTTAATCGCAAATCTTTTTTCGCAACAATTACGTGATGTAACAATGAATTTTCCACTAAACAGATTTCGCTGCAAGGGCAATAATTTCACGATGGAATCAACCGATGATGCCTATTGATTTAACGGAAATCCCGCTATTCCATATTAGGATCCGATCCCATAATAGGGGACTTACCTCTATATATTTAAAATATTTCGGTGACAAAATCCGTCGGCTGTACGAAGTTAATGTTATTAAATGCGAATAACCGGTTGTCCGAGGCGTAGGTGGTTATTTACCTGATTGGAAAGGATAACAAGGAATAGAAATAATTCGATACAGGAAAGCCACTGTTGCTTTTATAAGCGGATGATTCACAAGTCGTTTGCATTCTTGGGCGACTCGTATCTCCTTTCCTACCCATAAATGGGTCTCTAGAAAGGACGTAGTTCTTAGAGAGACTTAAGAGTAAACATAATTTTTTTATCAACGAAAGAATGTGAATCAGTAGTTAATAATGTTTTCTTCCATTTTATAGAATTTTCTTTTGCTACAAATTCTCTCTCTCCTTTCTTTTTTTCTTTAATTTACGAATTTAAACAGAAAAATAATGTAACATTGCTGCAAATATTTCTTGAACCTTTTGAACAACGAGTCCAGCGAGATAGTTAGGCAGTCGTTAAATACTTAAAGAGATGGCGTGTTTTTCATACCGACGTGCCTCAAAGAGTTAACGCCGCTTTCTCGTAACCTTTTCCGGTTGCATTTTTTTTTTTGCCACGAACGATATTCCAGCGATCGCGAGACGGAGAAACCACTATTAAACCGCGATGAATCACGCACTCCCGGTAGAGAGGAGGTCGGTCGGAGACCCGATCGGTGAGCCGATTGAATGATCGGTGTCACCCACTTACTCCGCGTGCGTGTACGCGTGACGCGCCTTTTTATCACCAGGTGCACCGAGAAAGAAAGGAATTGTCTGCCTGCGTGTCTGCCTGTTTCGGTTCAGATCGGCTCTTTCGTTCGCAATAGATTCGGCCCACTTTGGCCCGCGTCCGATTCGGTTTCTCATCGCTGCGATAAATTTTTTTTCTCTTGTTAGGAGCTGCCGATACGTCGTCTAAGCGTGTGAACACGACGTCACGATCTGAATGTCGCGAAAGATATGCAGTTTATTATTTTCTTCATTGGATTAATCGAAAAATATTATAATAAAAATATCACACTTGTTGATCACGTTTTTTGATAATTCAAATTTATTTTGCACACGGAAAAAAATGCTGTTGAATTAAGCAAAATAAAGTTGCTTGAATTAAACGTTAATTAACTCAATTGTATGTGCTATGGATTTTAATTTTAAGTATTGAACTAAATATCCAGATTATTAAGACAACAGTCTGGTGTTTTTCATTTATTAATACTGATATTATTTCAATTGCACTGATCTTGTTGATACATTATTCTTCTTTCCGTGCATGCGCGTTTAATATGAATGTAGACTTTGATTCAGTCGCATGAAGATAATTGATATGTTTGTGATATAATAATTTCTTTTTCTTACAGTGATAATGGCGCTGCTAGTGCCCGATTTGGACCCATTCATTTCTCTAGTCGGTGCAATATTCTTTTCTATCCTCGGCATCAGTATTCCAGCTGTCGTCGAGACGATTTCGTGCTGGGAAGGCCATTTGGGCGCCTTCAAATGGCGACTATGGAAAAATTCTGTGCTACTTGTATTTTCGTTATTAGCGTTATCGTTCGGTTCGTGGATCTCAGTGCAAGACATAATGAAGCTTTATAATGAAGAAGAAAAAGAAAAATTGTAATATTTTATTTAGCGTTTTATCTCAATTTTTCTTACACACCTGGAACTCCAGTGTCGACAAGAAACGCAACGAGGTCTTTTAATACAACAACTAATTAAGCGCGATGCACTTTTGTTATTTTGTATTCTCGTTACTTGCGTTTGTATTTGACTCGTGGATCTCAGTGTTAGTTATAATGAACTATTATAGTTAATAATAAATTTTACTAAGTTTACTGTTTTAACAGCGTCCCTACTTAATTTCCTGTATAACGCACCTATTGTCGACTGCTTATGCTGAAGATGAGACGAATTGAAGGTTTCAGTGCGAGAATGAAAAAAGAAAAAGATCTGTGGCTGATAAAGTTCACAGATCAAGTACAAAAACTACTTACACACTTTGAGTATAATTGTTAAAAATTATGAACATGTATCATTCATTTTCGAGATCGTGCTTCGTCCTTGCGCGCCTCGTCTACAATGTACTCTTTGCGTTTAGAAGCATTCTATTTTGTAGCCAATAAATACGTTTGGAAACTTTGTGCAAGTTGATAAATTGTACATTATACATTGTACAATTCGTAGTGTTGACTGACTTTTTAAGCGTTTCGATCTGCTTATATAAAATAAAATGTTTTAGACGCGAAGGACACGTTGCAGATCAGGTTTAATGGAAAGTAAACCTCGCTAACGCCCACTAGTACTCGTAAGTTCGATGACTTTGAGCTGTGCTCTCTTTTGGAATCTGTCGCCAACATTCCTGTCATCTGGGTGATCATATAAGCGGAGTTTCCCGTCTGGATTCAGTTTTCGTACGCGTGATGCGATAAATCAGGATTGGCATGCTGGAAATGCGGCTCAAAAGAAATTATCGGCCTCGAAGACACGCGGTCCCGGTTTGATAATCAAGTTTTACCGAAAAGTTTTGCAAACTCCGGCGATCGCGGTGTCATTAATTTTCTACGTGTTTATCTCTGAATAATTATGCAAAAGTCATCCGCAACGAAAGCATTCTACTACATCAAATCTGCATTTATCTTATTACGATCATTGCCCTAGCAGCACAATACATATTGGCGCAATATTGGGAAATAACGTAAATCTACACGGAGAGAATTTTCTCTTAAAGCTGACCCTGACAATTATGTAATCGTGGGACAACATGACATTTTGAAGAACTTTATGAGAGTCCTAAAAGTTACCATACATTTTACTAGTAAAATGTATGGTCAAATTTCAAAAAACTCATAAAATTCTTCAAATTGCCGTGTTGTCCCACGATTATGTGATTTTCAGGATAAATTCTCTCCGCGTAGTATTGCCAATATTGGTCCAATATTGTAAGATGAACGCCTTTCTTTATTCAGCCAATATGTCTATTTAGCAATTTTGGTCTAATATTGTATCAATATTCTTAATATTAGACCAATATTCTTATTACATTGTTAAATATAGGCCAATGCACTTCCAATATAGATCTAATATTATATAATTATTATCGTGCAATATTTACATTTATTCCATGACCAATATTGGCTTTACGTGGACAATATATGGCTAGTGCATTTTTCATATAACATTGAATCCATATTTAGCCACTGCTTAGCCAATGTACTGTGCTATTGTACTAGAGTTAGCTTAGACTGAAACCTCGCCTATCTTTTTGCACATCAGTGTTGCACATAATGTCCTCCGATAATTTCGTCAAATAATATCAGTAATCACAGTACTATCTCGTACCACTAGAGATATAACTTTAAATAATTAATCTTTAATGAGCCAAGTGTTTAATAATCTTTTAATCGCGGCTGCTCGTGTTACTTAGAGCTCAAGCAACGTAATCAGTAATGAGTATTGTTAATAGTCGTTCATTGACGTATCGATAATAGCTGCGTTCTTCGTAAAAATTAACCATTGTACGTATTTTTTATTCTGTTGCTTTGCATTGTAAATATATTTTACTACATTATACGTAATTATGCATAGGCGTATGTTTTATTATATTACATTTATAAAGTTTCATTCGCCAAAAGTATCGTGGTCAGATATAAGTACAAGATGATTCGCAACAAGAGTTGAAAGTTAATTGCGAATAGCCAATCAACTTGCAACGTTTCTGTAAGAGCAGAATATTCGCTTACGTTTCTCCTTCGGAATGAATTCAAGAATCGAGCCCCTGGCCACCGTCTCGCGGGTCTCGCGTGCCGTCGCACTTTTCGCTGCGTCCGCTAGGTGGCGCCAGGATGCCCGCGCCTCGCTGCTTCTCGGAAGCCTCTTACATTCGTGTAGGATGTTTCCTGCCGGGCGCCATGTTTGTCGCGGCCGCGTTTGCCGACAAAGTAATCCACGGGAGCGATCAGCTCGGTAGTTTCAAAAGCGAACATCTTACACGCGTGTACAACATCTAACGAGCGGCCCCCGCGTTTTCGCTCATCGACGATCAGTGGCGTTCGTTTGTAATCCTCGAAGGCGCCTCGTATGTGGGATCGCGGGGCGGCGAGTGTCGGAACCGAGGAGACTCGCCGGGGACTCTGCTACGCGGTGCGCGGTGCGTGGCCGACAGCAGCGACAAAGGGAAGCGGAATTGGCCGCGCTCGATTTCCTCGGGGGATACGGTTTTAGCGTAGCCACCTCTGAGCGGGCCGCGCGGAGACCGCGCGCACCTTCGACAAGGGACTCCGCGGTCTCGCGAATCTCGCAGCTCGCGGCTCCCGTGCCACCGGCACGCGGCGGATCCGTGCGGCGCGGTCGCGCGCGGCATAACCTAATCCCGGTGGCTCGGCCGTTCGCTGCGTGTGTGCCGTGCGCGCGTGCACCCCCTTTTCGCGCTCCCGTCACCCGCGCGACGATGGCGATGAGCGAGGACCTCGGTTTCGCCGAGCTCTGCAGGCTGTGCTCGCTCAAGAGTAATCACCAGCTGCAGATATTCGACAAGGAGAGCGAGCAGCGGCAGCTGCTGTTCAAAATACGCTCCTGCGTGCCCATCGCGGTGAGTAGGGACGGGCCGGACACGCTCGCTCGTCACCCGCGGGACCGGCTCGGCGCCCGAATTTCCCCAACGCGCCAGGCCTCGTCCCATCTTTCGCGCGAGTCGACGCTCCGAGTCTCGACGGACCCCGGTGTGACCAATCAATTTGTGTCGGACTACGAATTGAGATTAGATTGAAATTTGACCAATCGGAGTTACATTTACTAATCGTAAGTTTAGCGGCTTTTACTCGGAGGCTCCGCTTTTCATTTTCTCGTTAACTGTTACTCGGAGGTTGGTCGACTCTCTACCTTTTTTTATATGTTTATCTAAGAAGGGACAGAGAGTCGACTGACTTCTGGTTAAGGGCCTGAGCAGAATGGCTGCCTTGTACTCTTAAGACATAAGACAGTTATTGTGCGTTATCTCAAGACAAAGGGTTAAAACATAAAACAGTGTCTTGAGGCTGTTGAGAGTATAAGACGGCCATTCTGCTCAGGCCCGTGCAGTCAATGAGAAAATTGAAAATCCAGGCGTAATCGGTCAACTTTCAATCTAATCTATATCTCGATCCGTAGTCCGGTACGGGCTTTACGCCGAGAACTCGACTGTTTTCTTTGTTTGACTAGGTCTTCGGCCTAATCTACAATGTGCTCTCTACACTGGAAACATCCTATTTTATGTAAGCGAATCGAAACGCTTCAATAATGCATAATATATCCGCTTGCGCAAATTTTTTAAACGGAGAGAATTTCCTTTTACAATTTATCCTGAAAGTTACATAATCGTGCGGCAACACAGCGTTTCAAAGAATTTTATGAGTTTTTTGGAATTTGCCATACATTCCGCCAGTAAATCACTGGTAAAATGTATGGTAACATTTCAGCGAACTCGTGAAGTTCTTCAAACGCGATTACGTGATTTTCAGGATAAATTTTAAGAGAAAATTCTCTCCGCGTATTTGCCGACTGCGAAACAGAGTGTTTCTCAGAGACTCCGCGGCGGTTGGAAAATTAAGCGAGCTAGCTTTTGTATAGAAATCGCGTGCAATGGCACCAGATATCTCTGAACAAAGGTTTCCTTGCGAGATAAGAATGGAGGAAAGGCCCCCGTTATGAGATGGGTTTCCATTACGAGGCAGCAGGTTTTCGACGTCCAAATTCAATCCTCTTTTTAACAATCAATTTTCCACTAAACAGATTTCACTCCAAGGACAATGAATTCATGGTGGAACCAGCAGACGACGCACATTAAATTAGCGGAAACCCCCGCTATCTCATATTAGGACCCTGTCTTATAATAGGGGAAATTCTTCTACTTTACCACGTGCCACTGGCGCTGATCTTCGAAAAAAATGGATTTCACCTCGCGTTGTTGCATTGAGAGCAACGTTTGACAATTCTGTGATCGAAACGTATTGATTTTCTCGATCATTATCTTACAATTGGTATTTCTTTCCCTTTTCCTCTCGTTACGTCCCCGTAATGTAAAGCGGGACAAAGATTATCGAGAGTCGGGAGCTAAACAGCTGATTATTGCGGAGGATGCCGTGGTTAGACTTACCAGAAATTCGCCAGTTGTGTTAAACAAGGGGAAACGTGAGATCGTTTTCTGTTACAGTTAGGAAAAGAGGATGGTCTGCCAAAAAATATCTGTCACAGATGTCTCTACAAGATAGACCTGTTCTACGAGTTCCGTCTCAGCTGCCTGTCCACGGAGACGATACTGAAGAATTACGCGGACTCCTTGAAGAACATCGTCGCGCTTAACAATCAGGCAAGTAAAATTTTCCCCCACATACGAGGACTACGTTAAATTGCATGGAATTTTTAATCATACTCTAAAGTGTTTGGAGTGAAAATAGAATCACGGAGTGAAATATATCTTATTACTAATAATATATATAATAGTTATAATAATAAATAAAGCCAAATTTTTTACAATTGACTAGTCCTGTCCGTATCAATCGCTCTACACTGTATAATTACTGACAATTATGCACCAGACGAAATAACTATTTAATTTTAATTTTAACTTTGTGCTGATGAAAGCACTGTGTGCCGAAACGTATCCGCTGATTAATATTTCAACTGTAACATCTTTGAAAGAACTCGGCACTAATCATATAGGAAATTGGATCTCAGTTAAATTGGCTAGTTTTCACATGTGTTGTAGCTTATGACCTACTGAACAAAAAATGTAATGGGCTCAAACTTAAATAATGGCTAGTTACTGGGCTACAGCCAGTCAAACATAAAAATATATATTGCTTTGTCAACTTTCGTGCTCGTTGAGATTGGCCGCATTTCTTTATTTGTTATATTATTAGTGCCCAGTGAGAGGGAGGTCCAGGTTCATACCCTGGCCGAGGTATCATTTTCGGCAGTAGACTCACAGTAAAAAGTATTTAGATACCAACATTCGAGGGATGAACCGCTGAGGGCATTGTGGTGTACAGATCTGCGGCATTACTGGGCATTACTGGGCATCAGTTTGGGCATTGGGCCTTGCTGGGACATTATAAAGATAAAACAAAGTAACTGAGATAAAATAAGATGATAAGGTAAAGTGATGCCCACTGGGCATCAGTAAGCGTTAGTGTACACGATTCTGGTCAGCGGTTTATCTCTCGCTAACATCCTGTCTTGGCTCTTACTCCTTTATTACTTCGTATTTGTGTTTTCACATTAAAGCCTTATGAATTTTCAACATTTTCCTGATCACATCTGGCATCTTTAATAATACAGAAACTTTATTGCGAAAAATATTACCTCAGCCAAGGTTTAAACCTGGACTTCCCTACACTCCAGGCGGGCGTCTCACCAATTCGACCACCGAGGAACATCGTAGGCTTATGAATTTTATTGATTGTTTATATATTATTAACGACACGTAACGAAAGATCGCACGTACTCAGTTTGTCGACTGTTCGCGTGTTTTGCGTACTTTCAATTCATGTACCTGCATTTAATTGTGATATTGCGAGAATAACGATGCCACGTCCATGTCACTGTGGAAATAAACGCGGCCAACTTGGCGAAACGGTCGTGGGGGATTTGCCTTTGCGTGGAACGAGCGTGGTGAAGCACGAAGGTTTCGGCTTTTGGTCCAATTTTATCACGACCGACCGCGCCGTTTCGCCGGCGCGCGGCACGAAACGTTGTGCGCGAGGCTCCTTCGTGACTTTCGTGAAAACGTGCCGCCAGTAGATACTCGCAGAGCGAAGCGACTTTATGGCGTAGCGTTGTAAAAGATTTTTATGCGACTCCTTCAACGCTCTCTCTCTTCCTCCCCCCTCTTTTTTCTTACAATGACTCGACAATCTAGCGGTACTCGGCGTCTTTCCAAAAATGCAGCAACGTTAACCGAATGTGTATAAAGCTAAGGTAAACTTGAAGAATATCAATTGTTTCCGAAGGGACTGGCTGCTAAAAAGGTATCGTCAATGGCGCGCGAGGAGTATCGCTAGGTTGCACATATCTTTTTCTTTCTTCCGCACTTCTGGTAGCGGCAGGCCATGAAAAGGACAGGGTCGGTCAGACGGGGGAGCACGGGTCCTGTCGGATGCTGATCACGAGAGTAGGGAGGGGGGGGGAGCAGGAGGGGGCAGGGGAAACGCGCGCAGGGGCGTCACTGATCGGTAGCTAGAGGTACTCGGGGTCCCCGGCTCTGACCCCCCTTTCCGTGTCTGCTGCACCCGGCGGCGCGCGATCTCAACAATTCCACCCTCGCGTACGCAACGTAGACGGGCCGGCGGGAGGTGAGGGAGAGGGGAGGGGGGATAAACAGGAGGAGGGAAACAGAGAGAAAGGGTAAGACAGAGGGAGAGAGCGACAGTGTGTTATGCATGTATCTGTGTGTAGATTCCGTGCGTGCGCGACGACCGACGTCGCGACGTCTATTGATCGGCGCGTCGCGACCGCGAGACGCGTCGCGCGCACGGAAAGCGAAAGTCGTAGCCGTACTCCTTTCTTCGCTGTCTGGACTACCCCTCCCCCCCTCTCCGCATCCCCCCTATCTGCTTTTGCAACTTATTTCTCTTCCAACTGCCGCGTCCCTCCTCTCATCGTTGTCACGTAACACCCCTATATTGCCCTCTTAATTACGCGTTTTCCGCCGCGCGTTTCCTTAAGATTTCGCATCTTCCGCCTCTTTTTCGTACTCCTCGGTATCGTATCCTTTATAATATATAATAATAATAATAATAATATCTTTATTGAATCCCCCTTAGGGTTACAATCTCATTCAACTTAATCTACGCCTTAAGCGTCAGTCTTTTATATCTCGTGTAATTTATTTGTTATTTACATTATCCTTGTGTGACGCGAGTTAGTTACAGTCTCATTCGTTTTTCTTTTCACGCAAAGATTCGTAATTGTAATACCGCGTCAGATTTTTCGCGACATTACTCCATCGGGTGGATTTTACCTCCCCGAGATGTACATATTTTTTTTTACAAATGCGCATTTGCGCGTCGTAGCCCCGAAAGGATCTCTTCATAGAAAACGCGGTATAAATCCTCTCTCCGCTCAATTCCCTTGTTCCTCTTCTTCTTCCCTTTCGTTCTCTTTCGCTTCTGCTCTTGGTCTCGCGATCCCCCTCTTTCGATCCCGGATCGCTCGATCCTCACCTCCCTCCAGGCCAACCGCTCTCCCCTGCCGATTCGGCAGTCCTAGGCACAGGTGCAACGTGAGTTGCCGAGTCCGTACGTCGAGAAACCTGTTTCGAAACCCGGGATACTCCCCGACCGGAGAGATCGACGCAGCCTCGTTACGTGGGTGACTCTCTTTCTCTCTCTCTCTCCCTCTCCCTCTCCCTCGTCGCCGACGTTCCGGAATATCGGCGGCGGCGAAGGGCAGCGCGACGACGTCCTCGTCGTCCCTGGCGTCTCTCCCATGAATCGCTCCCGTGTTGCGACATGTGTGCGCGCGGGCGCGGGCGCGCAAGTTCTACCTCCCCTCTCCTAGGATCTCGCTCTCTCTCTCTCGCTCTCTCAATGTCAGTGTCAAGGTCAGCGGGCCGACGCACCGGTCGCGGAGCGCCATCGCCGCCGCCGCCGCCGCCGCCTCCGCCACACAACAGCGACGCTCCGCGTGCATCCGACACCGCTCGCCGATATACTTGGCGTATGTGCTACGTTGAACGAGAGAGAGAGAAAGAGAGAGCCAGTGAACGCGGGTATACGCCGGCACCCCCACGCGGCCACCCTTAACGCCGCCGCTTCGTCGTCCCTTCGTTGTCTCGCGTCTCTCGCTTCGACCGTTCCGCCGCATTCCGGGGATCTCCGCGCGGTACATCGTGACGCGTCGCGCTCTCGCGCCTCTTCTCTCCTCGGGTTTTTCTTTCCTCGTCCGCCTTTTTTCTTTCTCTCTGTCTCCTCCCCCTCCCCCCGCCCTCTTTCTCTCTCACACGAGTCTGGCTCGAATCGGTCTCCGTTACATCCGCCGCAGCCTCCCTTGCTCTCGGCGTGGTAGCGCGCGGTACGCGCCGCCGAGAATGATACACACGGATCACCAGGCCGCGCGCGCGTACACATAAACGCACACCTTGCGCTCCTCCCTGCCGATCGGTCGGGGCCGGCCGGCTAGTCATTTGTCTCTCTCTTCCCCCCCCTCCCTCTCTCTCTCTCTCTCTGTCGCTTCCCGATCGTGTCTCTTCGTCGTGCCGGCGCGCTCGCCTCCTCTCCGCTCCTCTCCTCTTCTCTTCATTGCACCCTCGATCGGCCGCGCGCAGCGCATTCCGCGGGGAACCTCCGCTCCGCGTCGTTTGTATCGCGCGTCGCTCCGTCCCGTGCGTGTCACCGGCTCTGCCTTACTTCTTTCTCGCCGTCCCCTCCTCCTGTTGTCCCTTCGCGCGCGCGCGCACACACGCACACGTCGCTCCCTCTTCCCCTCCGTCCAAGCCTCTCTCTCTCTCTCTCTCTTTCGCTCTTTCGCTCTCCCTCTGCCGCCCCTTCACCTGCGGTCTTCCGTCTTTCTTTCCTCTCTTTCTTCTCCTCGCCAAACCCGACGGCGAGGGAAACGTCTCCCCGGCCGTCTCGCGCTTATCCCCTCCGAGCTCCGTCGGCTCCTTTTTTTCGCCTCTTTGTCCTTGCATCCTCCCGCGCCGGGAATCGGTGGCGGCTGCGGCGGCGGCGGCGGCGACGGCGGCAGCGGGCAGCGGCTGCCAGCTTCGCGGCTCTCTCGTGAACCGCGGATACTCCGCCGAGCGCGTCGCGAAAAGCACGAAAACGCCGTGAGCTCCTCGCGCGCGACAGCCCGGGGAACGCGCATGTCAGTGTCAAGCGTTCGCACAGCATTCGAGTAAACTACCTCCTCGCCGAAGCGTGCCGGTTATCGTCGTCCTGCTGCATCCGGGGTGTCCGCGTCTCGACCACCCCACCCCACCCCCGAAAATGAACCTCGGATTCTCGTCGTCGTCGTCGTCGTTGGTGCTGCCTTGCCGCACGCGATCGATGCTGTGATTCGAAAATCTGGATCGCGCGATCTTTTATTTTATTTTTTGAGGGAGGGGGGAAATCTCTCTCTCTCTCTCTCCCCCCGATCGAAGGTGTTCTCCCGGCCCTTTGATTCTCAGAGCCCAACGGTCTTCTCTGGAACTTGGATTGGTCTCCGTTAGTGCGTGGTAAGCGCGTCCGAAAAGACGGCCGGCGGTTTCTCCCGTGAGGACGATCGACTCGCGCGACGGCTTCTCTTTCTTTCTCTTTCTCTCTTTCCGAAACGTCCCTTGCTCCGTCGACCAGTATCGCGCGTTTTTCTTTTTAGGCCGCTCAGTGCATTCCGAAATTTTTCGCAGGAGCGCAGGTGCGATTTTCTTTTTATCGTCGGCCACGATCGTATCGGTAATTTATTGACGGCGAGCAGGAAAGGAGAAAAATCGACGGACGAGGATTATTCGGAGCGCTCTCCGGAGTCGCTTCCCTAACGCGCGTGATAGCCTTCCTCATTGTTCTTTCCTCCGCGAGACCTTGGCGAAGACATTAGCGTACTCCGGCGCCGGGTGGGGATGCCGGGATCCGCGCACTTGCACTGTTCTGGACCATTACGCGGCGGAGAAAGAATGGGAAACGTGACGGACATGTCGTTGATAGTATCGAATAATTATTTCACAATGAGCGCCTGAAAAGCAGCGCAGTAGTATAGTCGATAATAGTGATACGAGGTAAGTGCGTAATCTCGGAACGCTGTTATTATCGTCGATCGAGCCCCGGAGCTGCGTAGCAGAGAGAAAACGTCTGTTCTGTGGGAGGGGGATTTTTCAACAATTTTATCCCGCGCCCTTTCTCGTCTCAAGTACTTTAATCCGGCCTGTAACGCGGTGCACGCGTGGATTTCCGGATCTTCGTAAAGCCATCTTTGATGCGCCGCGTTCTCGTGTCAGACAGGCGGTTTGACGCCATGGAGGACGATACGTGACCGCCGGGTGTCTCTATTGTGAAAATTTGCATTTTGCAATTACATTTGAGAATAAATAAACACTTCGAGCCCCGTGACACCGCGGCGGGTGCTGTTTACGTAGAAAATACCGCACCTTGTCGAGTTCTATGCGTTAATAGGAAAGGAAAATGAAACGAGTGAGTTTGATGAAAGTTACAGAGTCGTACTTGCCGTCGAACTTTAGCGAGGCTGATCGAGAGCCCCGCACGCGCGCGTTACTGTCGCGTATTATTAAGTAAAGGGCCGATTGTTGCGCGGCGTGTGATCGATCGGTGGTTTGAATTCAGAGTACGGACAAGGACAAGATGTCAAACGGCGGGCAGCAGCAGCAGCACGCGAGTTACGCGGAGACGCACAGTGCGGCACACACGGCGCTCCAGCAGCACATGGCACAGCAGGCGAGGCTAGCTGCGTCCGGGCCGCACGCGGCCCCGCAGCCGCCGAACCCCACGTTCACCCTGCCGGACGACGGGCTCGGCTACGACGACGGAGTAAGGGTGCTGCGGTCCATCGGAACGTGGTACGTAAAGGGTGCTGCAGTTAGTTCTCTCTTGGACTTTAAAGGGATCGTCAGAAAGAGTTGAAGGATGAATTAAACCAGGGTCAAAGTTAGGCTGGATGTCACCCGGCATCTTTGTCTCTCTCTCTCTCTCTCTCTGAGGGGACTGTTAGAGACAGAGACAGAGAGAGAGAAATGAAGAATGAATTAAACTAAGGTCAAAGTTATTTCATCAATGTCTTCGCTTCTCTCTGAGGGGACAGTTAGACAGAGATGAAGGATGATTTAAACTAAGGTCAAAGTTAGGCTGGATTTCATCAATGTCTTTGTCTCTTTCTAAGGGGACAGTTAAAGAGAGATGAAGGATGAATTAAACTAGGGTCAAAATTAAGTAACGGTGGGCCTTAGAGTTTTTAGAAGCGAGATCGTTCGTCAAAAATTACGATTTTTAAGTTGTATGCTTCCGCGCGAATTGTCTGACGATCTACCTTCACAAATATCAGCGATAACAAAAAAAAATTGGTAGTTGCAGGAAAAGGAGTGCTTCCTAAAATCTCCTCTACGTTAAAATCACATTTTGCATTATGCGATCAGTCGCTTTCCGCGTAAAATTTCCAAGCGAAAAGTATTGCAACATTGGTTCTTGCTTGACAGGTCATCGGATTATTCTGCCGCAATGCGGCCCAGCATGATGCCGGCGTTTCCTGGAGCGGACCAGCAGTTCGGAAGTAGAGCGCCGACGGTAAATCAACCATTACGGACAACGACGACGAACAGCGTGAATGTTCGCCCGGGATCTGTTTCAAAAGCGACCAATACTGGTGAGCCAACGACGAAGGCGTTTGCCTGCACTGTGTGCGGCAAGGGGCTCGCCCGTAAGGACAAACTCGTCATACACATGCGTATACATACCGGCGAGAAGCCGTATTCTTGCGAGGTGTGCGGTAAGTACGAAAATTATATCGAATGCAATTCTACCGTTGAATACAAATAATTTCAAATCGCTCGTCTTCGTTCCTAAAAGCAATTGAATGAATAAAGGATCCTATATATGTTGCAGGTAAAGCGTTTGCGCGTCGAGACAAGTTGGTCATTCATATGAACAAACTCAGACACAAACCCGGTGTTTCGCCCCTGTCGGCGCCTACCACACCAAGATCTGATCAGCATCAACAGCAGCAACAGCAGCAGCAGCAGCAACAGCAGCAGCAGCAAGCGCAGCAGCAACAACCATCTCGCCAAGATAGCATTCATAAATTGAAGGAGGAGCCGATGAGCTGGTCCTGCGAACTGTGCGGACGATCGCTCGCTACCAGAGATGAATGGACGCAACACGCTCGGTTAATATCTCTTTAGCCTCAATATCATACTTACATTTTAATTTGACGTCTACAATTGATCTTGATCTATCGCAGATCTCATTTGGAAGTAGTACCGCCACAACACGCTGCTCCGTATTTCCCAGGATCTGCTCCGCCGCCGCAATCCTATACCGCCGAGAGAAACTTCTGCTTGCTGTGTCGCGTCGACTTCACGGATAAGGCCGAGTTTCTGTTCCATATACGTACGCACTGCGAGCACGGGCAGCAGTCGGGCGGTAAACAGAGCAGCGGAGATGCGACGGCCGAACTCATTGCCAGAGGACTCGTCGATCCTTCCGGATTATGCAGCTAGAATTACTCTTTTCCCTGTCACTACGTACCGTCGATTTGTGTCTTACCATAGTACAAGTTTTCTGCTCCACTTCGACCAGAAACTTTCGCATAGAATGTCATGCATATTGTGATTGTAATGATATATGTACCAACTTATCGATAATAGATACACAGTAGCATGTTCGATAACGATAACTGGATAATCGGTAACGAGTAGCAATCTTGGTACAATATTCATTATGGATTAAGTTGGTATTCCGTGCAACTGTGATTATTTTTTAATATATTTTTATTACATCCTGTTGCACATGATGAAAATTTATGACTGGGGGATATTATTTCGAAGGTTATTTTGAATTTTACAAATTAAGTTTTTGATCATTCTCTTACATGGTATTTGTGTCTTACTGTACACTTACAAATCACTGGGAAAATTAATTTTTTTTTTAATGTAATCTTAGCAAGTTTATTTGACAACCAGATTATTAAAGAAATTGCGATATGCGCACTTTGTAATAAATACATATCATCAGAACAGAGTTATTTTCAGAAATACACTACTGTGTATCTTGACACAAGATAAGATCTATATTATTGAGGAAAGGAAATTTAAGTACTGATGTGATACTGAGCTATGGTAAGAGTGCACACTATTGTGTCAGTATTTAAAAGCTATTACTTAATAGTATACGTTCCTACAGAACTAGCTTCCTGCTGTTTGTAGGTACTAGTAGATTCCTATTCTGTAACTTTTTAACATGTAACTATAAGCTTTATTCACGTTATAGATACAGTAATATTTCAGTCACGCTTATACTAATTCTCCCAAGATTTATTATTATTTCAATACATTTTGTTTAATTAATAACAGAAATATGATGTTACTTATTTATCATTTCTTAATATTTGAAACTGATAGTATAAATAATTTATTTGTTTTATTAATGAATATTCTTTACTTAGTGATGTAGCAAGACTGAAATAAAATTGGGTCGTTATTATGTCTATATACAGCGTGAATGAAGCCTAAAAGTAACCATATAGTTAGTATAAAACATACGCATGGAAAGACCGATTAATGATATGATAAGCTACCACACACTGTTGCATCATTAGTTAGAATTAAATAGTTGCAATTAAAAAGTTACAAAACTGGGCCTGTAGCAGTATGTACTCTGATGTACAGGTTTGTTCTCAATGCTATTATATTTTTTTATATGTATATGTATGTTTTCAACTGCAACGTTATAATTTAGAGAATTTATTATTTTGATAGCCTATCGTTCTCTTTGATCTAGATTTTAATATCAATGAATTATGCCAGTTTACAGATCTGATTTGGAAAATTATTATATTTTATACAGAATGATTCATCTAATTTGATATTTATGTAATTATATATATATGTGTAGTTCATCATCATCATATATTTAATGGTTCCCCTTTGGGTTACATGGCGCTTTTTCCAGGGAGCGTACCCGAACCCTTTACACCTTCATATATGTGTAGTTTAATTTACTCTAACTTTTTTTTATATGGAAAAAGATTTGAAGCATCAATTAGTTAATAGCGTGATTTTAAAGAAGATATCAGTTTTAGATTTTATATCAAAATCAAATTTTACAAAGACGATTATTAAAAATTTATACATAAAAAATTATGTGGATAATAGTAATATTTTATTAAAAATGTTTGTAATTTTTTTTGGTCACACTTGGTCTTTTTATCTAAGTTGTCAGATGAGATGAATTATTTTGTGTAATATTATTATGCTTATCAACCACTCGTTGATTATATTCGCTTACATACGTTGGAACATGTTAAATTTTCGTTATCTACTATACCTTTAACTGAATTTTATGAATTTCCAAAGACAGTTGGTCGAATGCATTGTCAATTTATGTACCAAACACGGCTCCTTACAGCATAGCTATCAGCGTTAATCGCGTATTTAAAATCAAGTTTAAAAGAACAAATTTTAATTTGAAGTGCTCCGAATTTCTTCAGGTTTTATTCAAAGAATTTTCTACAAGTGTACACTTTCTTTTTTACATAACTTACATATAACTCTGTAAGACATGCTCAAAATTTATATATTTATTATTACTTAATGTTTAACTTGAGTAAAATATTTTCATCGCTGTTTTTTACCACGGTACAATTACTTTATTATAACGATTATCCTTGGAATCTCAAATATCAGCATGTACTTAATCAAGGACGCTCGAGGGTTATACTTAGTTATTATGAATATTGAGAATATATGGTGGAGCATTTATCTTACGGTTAATATCGTAAATTATTCACGATATTACACGTATTCCACTGCGTCGAAAAAATATAAAGAGAGTTCGTATTTTTTAATTTTTCTCTTGCGTTATATTTAAGTTTCAGACAATATAATATGTGCAGTTCGGTAAATATTATTGAGCGGTATTCATAGTTCGACCATGTATTCCACATCGTCTTAAGTCCCCGGTCATGAATAGTTTTGAGATGTTATTCAATGAAATGACCATCTCGAGATCGCATTTAAGACGATTTCGAGTATCGGAATATGAATACTGCCCACTGTTTTATCGGGAAAGAAAGATATGTACACGAATACATACGTTATTTGTACCGGGAAATTAGCGACAATAATCGAGTTCCAATTTTCGCTAGGAACCCGAATACGCGCGTCAACATATTGGCAGAGACTCTCAGGCGTTTTAATGTGAATTTGCATTGTGAACAAACTATATCTTCCAGAAGAAGCCGATAGGATTCGCTTGTTACAGCGCTTAAAGCTTCCTCTCGTCTCCCTAGAATAGTTTTCTAAGATAAGCCAGTAAAAGTTGCGCTAAGAACGCGAAACTGCCGTGCCTCCTGCCCCACATACAAATCCGCTTCCGGGTCGTTTTCCATTCGACGGTCGCTTTATGGGACGACCGTTGCCTCTGCGATGATATAAAAATCAAAAGTCGGAGCCTAACGCTGAGCGTATATTTTGTGTAACGTAACATTTACAACTATGTCACTAGAGGTATAATCACTGCGACAATAGCGAATTATCTTAGACTATCGTACGCATGACAAGCAATTACGTCGGGCCACCGTCCCGAGTCTCTACCCGAACTTATATTTTTTAGCGTAGTGAGATTAGCGAATAGCACTGCCCGCCGCAAGGCCCATTTTTTTAACCTCACGACGCTCGTCCGCGTCGACGCCGCGCGACGTATTGTCTTGTATCGAAAGCGGCAATCAAATTTAAATCGAATGCCTTCGGAGTCAACCACCTATTTGCAGTTTAGAAGATAAATAATTAACATACGCCTACAAATCGGTCACGATGAGGACTAACGTTAGTAGCGTTCGATGGAGAACATTGGGAATACTCGAGCCAATACACTGTTCTCTACTGTGGGAATGAAACAACGTAGGCCGATTGCACGCTTCGAGGTACCGTTCAATGTAAGCGTGAGAATGCATGCAGCCCGTTGCAACTTGAATTTCTTTACGGAGATTTTTTGTACAAAGGAAAGAGAGAGAGAGAGAAAGAGAGAGAAAAAGTAAGACGAGAAGAGAGGAAAAAGCGACGCGTTCGAAGACGCGACACATAACGTTCTCGTGCGTCGAGGATTCGGAAGGATAGACGCATAGTGCCTTTTCTCTGGGACTTATTCACACCACGGTCATCGTTTGAAATTTCACGCGTTGGGGAGGCACACCGGCATAAGTGAAACATTGACATAAGTTAGTTACTTAGGTAAGAACGGCGTTTATTTTTCAGTTTCGTCCTTCTGTTACGAGGGGAGTGAACGTTCGATGCCACACTGCCTCTACAGCAGCTGTTTTTAGACTACTTTTATACTGTTGATGTCACGCGCAGCTAATCAGAGTCTGTATATTACTGCCATAATTATATTCGGAACGAAATGTATACTCAATATACCTTTATAAATAAAACACGACCAAAAAGGAAAGCCCGAGTGGCATTTATTGCCGTCGCGCGTTACGATGGAACGTATTGATCTCTCTCGTAACATTTAAATCTACAATGTGCTCTCCGCATCTAGAAACATTCTATTTTATACAAACGAGTCGAAACGCTGAACGAACACTCGTCGACTACGTACGATTGTACAGTGTACACAAGGTTGGGAGGTGACTCGTTATCACTCGTGCACCTTGCGACGACGTCGCAACGGTAAAATCGACGGTGATGCCGTCAATGTTGTAACGCGTTTTCTCGGCCGACAATACACCGGGGTGACCTGAAATAACGCGGCGTGCATTTCTTTCTGCCCACCTTCGGGTCGCCGAGTTCCTGCTCGGATGCAAGGCGGTTCGCCTTGCCGGATCGCGCCGCGCCCGTGTTACGGCCAACAATAATAATGGCTAGCGAACCGGCTCGACTTCGTTGCATTTTTATTTCCTCGCCCTTGCCGACCCCCCGGCCCCGGGCCCCTGCCCCCCTCGCGCGAGCGATGGCGTGGCGCACTCGCATTATCACTCGCGGGCCTGGATAATATAAGATAATCGCTCCTTTGTCCCTCCTTTCTTCCGTTTCTGCCGGTAATTCGCTGTCTTTCGCGGAATAAGATGCAACGCAAAGCTGTTCCTTGCAATATTTCAAATTATTAAACCAAAGATGTAGTTTTATTATTGTGTAACTACTTTACACTGCTCGTAAAATTGCAGAGAGACGGAAACGTGTCTTTTTAATCCTGTAACGTGGAAACGATATATTTGTTATTGAAATTGAATTTTTCTTCTGTTATAATGTTTGTATTGAATGAATTTCATTACAATCGTGAATTAAATCAAGGTAGAATAAATACATTTCTAATACAATGCGATTCTCGTACGAATATATGTATTGTATATCGGGCGTATCCCACATTTCGTTCGGTATCGTGGGATTCTCAGTTGCAACACCATGGAGAACGCAAAGGTTACCGGATGAAAGTAAGCCGACCCCATGGAGCACGTGATTGTGCTTGTATTTGTACGGGAAATTGCTATGCAAGGTACATCGGGCATTGCACGAACGATCGAGATGAAAATCACTCGACTCCGTGCGGTCCCGACGTTTTATTTTTCAGACGCCAAGATACATGGTGTAGAAGCCTAGCGAGAACTCGTAACGTCGAATCGACGTCAATGGGGTCGGAACCGCTCGAGAACTGCCAAGTTAACTTATTTAATACAAAAAATTAACTTCCAAACTTCATTATTTTCGAAAACTGACGATTCTGGACGTCGATTCGACATCGATTCGACGTTCTCACTGGGAGGGGACTCTTGTAAAACTACACTGAGAAAAACTTTTCATCGGATAAACCAATTAAATAGTGTTTCCGATGGTTAATTTTTCAGATTACGTTTTCCGATTAAATTATGAATATATCCGATGAATTTTGATTAAAAAACCGATCACATTTTTCATCGGATGTACAATTTAATTGAATATATCCGTTTGTTATTATGTAATTGGATTATCCGATTATATATTTAATTGGACATTTTTCTCAGTGTATATTTTAATTTTACTTTACTAACAATGCGTTGACACGGCGAATGATATTAATATTAAAAGATGCAATAATAATTAGTATAACAATCCAAGCGCATTAAGCGTAAAATAAATTTAAAACAAAAATAAATTGTACGGCTATGATTTTGGAGAAAATGGCGGATTTTCGCGCAGGATTCTTTCGGTTATTAATTTTTTCGACACCGAGCCACGTTTTTACTTTCTGTTACTTGGCTATTTCGATTAACTGCGGATCGTGTTCTCTGAAGACTCGAAATTACGCTCTTTGTTAAATCAAAACCTTTGTTAATCTCACCGCGGACACGTCACACCGTGAACTCGCGTGCCACTCAACTCTTGCTGAACGAGTAGGAGAAGCCGTCGGGGGTCCGATTGAAGCTGAGCTTCCCCGGCGGATAAAAATTCCGGGGCGCCGCCGGTTCCGTTATCGCGTTGTGCTGCGGCGGCGCGGGGCGGAATTGGGGCTGATAGCGCGGCCTCGGCGGCGCGTACGAGGGTATACTTTGTAGCTCCGTGGGATAATGATAGCGGGGCGGCGACGGCGGTGGCTGCGGCCGATCCTGGTACTGGTACTGCGGCCGAGGCTGCGGCCGATCCTGGTACTGGTACTGCGGCCGAGGCTGCGGCGGAGGCTGCGGTTGATAAACGACAGGTTGCGGTTCGTAATCCGGTTGATAGCGCCGTGGGTATTGCTGAGGGGTTGGCGGTGCGTAACTCGGGGGTTGGTAATCCGGCGGATTATATTGCGCCAGCGGTACATACTCCGGCTGCGGTGGCACCGGCGGGGGTGCGCTGGGAATGTGGTCCCCGGTCGCCTGCGAGACAAAAAGTTTGAGGTTTAACGTGAGAACCGATCAAAATTAACGGGAGGATTGAGTGTAATTGACCTTCATATTATTGTATGATTAATTTGAGCGGTAAACTAGCCTGTTTAAAATATTAGATAGAGTATCTCTTACGGAAAAGGCACTCAAGTTTCGAGTGCTAACACTCGATTGTCCGAATTTACTTTCAAATTTGTGTGTAAATGTTTAAATCTGGGTGTTTACGCCCAAATTTGAGATTGTTATTTTCCGTGAGGGATGATCGGTTTTTCGATCAAATTTAACCGGTAACTGCATTTTATCGGATAAATTTCATCGAATGTATGCATAATTTAATCGGAAAAATTAACCACCAGAAACGCTATTTAATTGGTTTATCCGATGGAATTTTTTCTGAGTACAGGGAAACGAATTCGCCGGGCGCTAAAATTTTTCATCCAATCTTTTCCGAAAAATTTGTATACGAGATATTTAATGAAAAAGTTGATATGAAAACTAATGAGTTCTAACGTAAAATTAAATTGCGAAAAGTTGCAAATTTAGCGTCGCGCAATTAACGAGTGAAAATGAATTAGCAGGTAAATGTGCACTCTACGTACTTGGAAGCCGTTCTTCCCCGCCGTGTAAGTCACCGTGCGCCTTTGTCCGGTTGGATCGATGTACGAGTATGATCCACGTCGATTGCCCTCTACGTCGCTCTCCTCCTTAAATTCCACTCCGTCTTCTTGGGAGTAGGCGGCACCGAATGTGCCATCACCCGCGAGGTAACGCGCGTCGCTTAAAATCGCCGCACGATGCGGCGATTGGTAATAAGACTCTTGACTGGAGACACCCACGACGATACCCAACAGAATAATCTGTGTATATCACGGAAGAAAATTTGAATCACAAATTTTGCTTGCAGACAAACTTTTTAATCCGACCAATTAAAACATCTGAGAAATATCTAATTGCAATAGATGCGACGCACAAAATACTTCTATTTCTAAATTTTAAGTATGTACAGTTTTATGATACATTGTATAATTATTTTGTTATGGTATATTTTAATCCTAGCTATATATTTTTTATTGTATTTTATACAGAATTACATTATTATGGCGTTAAATACTTTGACGGGAGCCGCGGACTTGAAGACTAGACGGATACTTACGACTGCGACGGGCATGTTGAGGGAATAATGGATCCTTAGGCAGCGAGAAGCGCAACAGTGCTCCCAGAAACCGATGAGAGGGGCGTTTTATACGAGTTGGCTCAGGGCGACCCGGCGAAGAGGCCTTGATGGCAACCCGCGCGTCCCAGTCCCGGATCACATCACCACGCCCTGCGAACAATTTCTGTGCAAGTTTCTAGCCTTCGTACTTTCCGCGCGATAACTTAGCCTGACATTTCGCTTAGCTCGCGAGGAAACCGTGCGCGCCGCTCGTACAGTTTACATGGGGTTTTCAAAATCCCTGACATTACGTTTAACTTGCTCGAATGCTTCTGTTGAGAAGCGACCGTGAGAAAAGCGTCGTTTTTTCTAAATTAATGTATTTTTATGGCTACACTGAGAAAAATTTCCATCGGATAAACTAATGAAATAGTGTTTTCGATGGTTAATTTTTCTGATTACGTTCTTCGATTAAATTATGGATACATCCGATGAAATATTTATACGACGACGAACCAATCACATTTTTCATCGGATGTATAATTTAATCAGATATATCCGCTTATTATTATGTAATTGGATTATCCAATTATATTTAATAGGACATTTTTCTCAGTGTAGTCAAACAAAATGTATCTCTACACTAAAAAATTTCTATCGGATAAACCAATTAAATAGTGTTTCCGATATTTAATTTTCCTGATTAAGTAATGGATATACCCGATGAAATGCAATTACCGATGAAACTTGATTGAGAAACCGGTCATATGTTTCATCGGATGTACGATTTAATTGGGCATATCCGTTATTATATAATTGGATTATCCAATTATATTTAATCGGACATTTTCTCAGCGTACACTGAAAAATTTCTATCGGATAAACTAATTAAATGATGTTTCCGATGGTTAATTTTTCTACGTTTTCCGATCAGTGTATAAATAAAAACAAAGACGTAGAAATGCGGGTTAGGTACAGACAATATTTCCATGAAAATATTTATCGAACATTGGAAGATTCTGACGATTTTCATCGTTATAATTGCTCTTTTTGCATTAGGCAATAATTAAAAACTCAATTATGTAAATAGTTAAAAAAGAAGAGAAAAATATAAAGAAGAAATACCAATATTGTGTACAAATCAACACAATAGTTCAATAAAACGTTTCGATTAAGAGAAAAATTGTCGATTTAAATAGCTATATGTCATAATTTGCAATATGTCAGTTTTACAAATACATCGAACCGACAAGTCCTGAGGTCAAAGGCAGAAGAGCGCTCCCAGGCACTCTTCGCTGACAACTCGCGATGCTGAGGACTCAATCTTGAGGGCTTTCGCGCGTACACTACAGTAGATTATATACCGACCTTACTTCACGCTGTTACCGACTTCCAATGGATTATCGGAGGCATAACGGCGGTCGCGCCGAAGCTTAGGGCATTCTTCGGGGTCGGCGTCGCGCGCGAGCCTCGAAATCACCTTTCCTTCCTGTCAGGATAGCACGGCCTTCGTCGAAAAATAAGATTATCGACCCCCTGGCGCGCCGTGGCAAAACCAGATTTCACTCACGAACCCGCAATGTTACGATCGCGCTAATGAGTTTTCGTGTCCATTACCGCATCGCCAAATTGGAATCGACGGCGCGAGACCCCGGGAAAATCGAACCGCGCGAGCGCGTTTTAATTGCCCCGGCGTGCATATATTAATCGCGGCGTAATGCCATTCCGCGTTTCCTTTCCGTTTTCCTCAATAACTCAATAAGTATGGCGAAAGCGCGGATCTCGTTGCTCTCGGCCTCGAAGCCTGGCGGGCATTTTTCTCGTTTACGATTATTTCTGCATCTCGCAATCGCGCGCCACGGCGCAGCACGTGTATTACGGATTAAAACTCTGACGGGGGCATTGAATATCCTGTTTCGCTTTTTATTTTTTTCTTATTCGACTATTCGAAACGCGAGATTCTTCCGTACGTACACGGAGAAAATTTTCTCTTGAAATTTACCCTGAAAATCACATAATCGTGGGACAACGCGGAATTTCAAGGAATTTTATGAGAGTTTCTGAAATTTTACCATACATTTTACTACACAGAAAAAAACTTTTCATCAGATAAACCGATTAAATATTGTGTCCCATGGTTAATTTTTCCGATTAAATTATGGATATATCCGATGAAATTTATCCGATGAAAAATGCAGTTACCGATGAAATTTGATTGAAAAGTCGATCCGCATTTTTGATCAGATATACAATTTAATCTGACATATCCGTTTGTTATTATATAATTGTATTATCCGATTATATTTAATCCAACATTTTTCTCAGTGCAGTAAAATGTATGGTAAAATTTCAGAAAACTCATAAAGTTGTTCGAAATGCTGTGTTGTTCCCCGATTACATGATTTTCATCATAAATTGTGAAAGGAAATTCTCTCCGTGTACGAATGCCGAACAAAGTGTCTCTGCCGGATTTTTCCAGCCTCTCTCGTCTTCGTCGTCGCGCGCGATGGCGACCATTTCGACGTCTCTCGTCGAACTTGAATGTTTAATACGACTTTCTACATCAGAGGCGTTTTTATGGAGGTAAATTGTAGCGAATTAATTCATGCGTGGTATCTGTCGAGAGCGATTGAAGTACATCGTGTCGGTCGAGGTACCCGCGGTATCGCGAACATCGTTACGAACGGAAGTGCATTTTCTACATTCGCCCGCGCGAAGTAAAGTTCCCGTATCAGGCGCCGCAGACACAAGATCTTCCCAGTCGATCGGCCGAGAATAATCGACTTTCTCCGCCCGCTTCCTCCTGTCAAATCCTTCTTTTTTCGCCTCTCTCGCCTTTCGAATCTTATCGCGACCACGAGTTTTCCATCGTCCACATCCGTACGCGCGCGGACCTGGGTTGACGTCCGCTCGAAATGCCACGTGTCGCAACGCGATCGTTTTGTTCGCGACTTCGGAAATCGCCGTCAATTCGGTAAACTGCTTCTCGGAACGGTCGTTTGGCATTCGATTTGCCAGGTGAAAAAAACTCTATAACTTTTAGATAAGAAACGAGAACGCCAAATTTTAGCAGGTTCTAGGTAGCCCAACAATTCTAATTTAATATGTGAATTCATATACCGTTTTCCACACTGAGAAAAATTTTCATCGGCTAAATCAATAGTGTTTCCGATGGTTAATTTTTTCCGATTAAATTATGGATACAACCGATGAAATTTATCTGATGAAACTTGATTGAAAAACCGAACATATTTTTCATCGGATATACAATTTCATTGGATATGTCCGTTTGTTATTGTATTATGTAAACGGATTATCCGATTATATTTAATCGGGCATTTTTCTCAGTGCACCTGTCCTGCGGCGCCGTTGCTTTCGGACATGTAACGCAGTTTTGTTTAGGCCTATTTTTAGGATAAAATATTATATGGAAGGAAATCATGTATCTTATTTCAACATTTAAAATACTGAGGGACTAATGCAACGTCCGCGTTCGTTTCTTACGTACTCGGCGGAGCAAACATAAAAATTTCATGTTATCCACGTACGAAAAGCAGCAGGATACGCCGGGCATTTATAGAGCTTTAATTTACGCGGTTTAATACGTCAGTGCGTTAAGTTGGCGGATAATGATCGTTGTTCCCGAGCGATTGCACTGCATTCTCATCGCATTAGAGGCTCGCGAGCGTCACGCGACCGCGCAATTATCTCGTCGTGCGAGAGGTTTTCTTTTCGCGCGGCCATAAAGCCAGCGGCGGTCCATTATCTCGCGGAATTTATAGATCCGAGTTAAGTAGATCCCTCGCTTTTTTTCCCACCATCGCTTTTCACCCCTTAATTTCGTCCGGCTTGGCGGCGCGCTATTATAGATCGCCGGTCTGACGCAGATTGCCAGTGTTTAGCGCGCGGCGAACCGTTTGCGCGTCGTAAATTTAATTATATGAAACTCAGAGAGACAGTGTAGTTACTTACAACGCGGTCGAAACTATTTTTTTTTCAACCTCGACCAGGAAGATCCGCGTTGTTTCGAGCTTGACTCACGCTATCGGAAATTCTTGTATTCCGTATTACAATTCGATCTTCAACTACGCGAAACTTTGTATTGGGCAAATTGCAATATAATCGATAAAAGAAAATTGTAAATCTATAGTCATCTTTTGTGTTGGAAAATTAGAGGAACGGTACACGGAGAGAATTTTCTCTTCAAATTTATCCCGAAAATCATGTAATCGTTAGACGACGTGGCATTTTGAAGAATTTTATGAGAGTGTTTTGAAATTTTACCTTTGACTAGTAGTTATGCTTAGTATATATTTTACTAGTAAACTAAATGTTAAAATGTCAAAAAACTCTCGTAAAATTCTTCAAAATACCAGATTGTCCCACGATTACATGATTTTTGGGATAAATTTGAAAAGAAAATTATCTCCGTGTATAGTTTCAAAAAATCGTACTTACTTTGGTGACATTAAACAGGTGGAGGCTTATTTCATTTCAAATTCTTTTCCTTATGATTTCTTTGTTGCTAAGGAATTACATTAATTATTACTTCGCATCGTTAAACGTAAGGAAATGCTCTGAGCGAGATTTTCATTTTGACTCCTTTTTCGTTTCATGCAATCCCATATAATTTTGTACTTTGGTATACCGCAATGAGAATTATTACGGACATTTTCCAGTACGTAGCGCGCTTTCTTCTCGTCTCCACTCGTCATTTGAGACAATTTAAGTGCATACGCGAACCTTAACGGCTCCGCTCGGAAACGTAGATTCTGCTAAAAAAACACCGCGCCAATGTTTCTTATTACATCATCGTAGCCTCGTTAAAATCCTCGGGATCGTATGGGGTCTAACGATTTCACCATTCTGGTTCCTGAAATCTAAAAAATCGCTTCGGAGAATGTGAGGTTGAATACTTAACGTGTTTGACTCCCCTGTAACTTCAATCTTTCTGATCTGAGAGATAAATCCATATAAAACATTGCGCATTTTCTTAAATGTCTATTTACTACTTAGAATACATTAATTCTCTTATAATTATATTTTAAATACTTTTATTCATTATCTTTTATCTTCTGTATATTTAATTACTCACCTTCTTCCGTATGCAAATAATATTATCAAGGTACGCAGTCTTTTTATGTCTTGAAAAGTACATTTTCGGAATGTGACAGTTTTAATTTAACAAAAAATTCTGCAGATTCATTAAAATCTTTTGTATCTTTAATTGCTCATCTTCTTTCGTATACAAATACATTATGATATTATCAAGGTATGCAGTCTTTTTCTGTCAAATTGAAAAATACATTTTCGAAATGCGACAGTTTTTATTTAACAAAAACTTCTGCAGATTCGTTAAAATCTTTTGTATCTTTAATTGCTCATCTTCTTGCGTATACAAATATATTATGATATCAAGGTATGCAATCTTCGTCTGTCGACTTGAAAAGTACATATTTGAAACGCGACAGTTTTAATTTAAAAAAACTTCTACAGATAAAAATTATTGTATCATCCAATCGCGAGGGGAATAAAACTCCACGACGAACGTTCCCTTCGAATTTTCGGACTTGCAGGTATTCTGCGGAATTACCTCCGAGAGGTAATTCTCTAATAGCGTTACGCCAGAGACGCGTGCATTCTTGCAACGAGTGATAATATATCTTCGAGGGGGGAGACTTTTGTCGGAGTTCTCTCGTTACCTGAGGCGGAATTACTCTAAAAGTAGGTAGCTACCACCGCGCGCCACCAATTACGCCGGGGCGACTACGGCTATATAGAAGAGCCACGCCGACTCCGCCGGCTGATTTCTGCGAGTAAACTCGACGCGACAATCCGCGTGCATCTCTCTCTCCACACGCAGCCATGAAACTACCAGTGAGTGTTCAGGATATTCCGATTGACTGACCGTCTCCATCGTGTCGGTATTAATATAGTGGCGAGAACTATTCTAATTGTCCTCGACATTTCATTTCGCGCTTTTTCTCCATGTGTGCACGGAAAAAAATGATGCTGTATCAACAAGATCAGTGTAATTGAAATAAAATCGTTGAAACAACATCAGTTCACTGAGAAAAAATTTTATCAGATAAATCAATTAAATAGTGTTTACGATGATTAATTTTCCCGATTACGTTTTTCGATAAAATTATGGATACATCCGATGAAATTTGATTGAAAACCCGATCACAGTTTTCATCGGATATACAATTTAGTCGGATATATTTGTTCGTTATTATGTACTTGGATTATCCGAGTACATTTAATCGGACATTTTTCTCAGTGTATTAGTAAATGCAAAACATCAGACAGTTGTTTAATAAGTTGGATATTTAGTTCCATGCCTAAAATTAAAATCCATAGCAAATACAACTGAGTGAATTATTGATGTTTGTGGCAGCCCTCGAGCAACTTCATTTTTTCCGTGTGACTGTTAAGAGTGCTCTGGGAAAAAAAAGACAGCAGCCCATTTTGGGGCCCACAATTAGTAATCGATTTATTTGGATTGTTCGTAACTCTACTCTGGGAAAATTTTTGACCGTTTTGTTGTAGTTGAGCAATTTAACATTTCGGTTGGCGCCTTTTAAGTGAAAATTATCTTTGCGTTACTGAATACCGATAGAACTAATTGAGAGAATTGATTAGTATTACTTAAAAATCTTGGATATAGATACACTAAGAAAGATGTCCGATTAAATATAATCGGATAATCCAATTACGTAATAACGAACGGATATATCCAATTAAATTGTATATCCGATGAAAAATATGATCGGTTTTTCAATGAAATCGGTTTTTCATCGGTAACTGCATTTCATCGGACTTTCGTCTGATGTATCCATAATTTAATCAGAAAACGTAATCGGCGAAATTAACCATCGGAAACACTATTTAATAGATTTATCCGATGAAAAATTTTCTCAGTGTAGAATAGCTAATTGCGATTTTTAGTTACGTGGGGTAAAATTTGTAAAAGATTAGAATTACAAACAATCCAAATAATTCGATTACTAATTGTGGGCCCCAAAATAGGTAGCTGTCTTTTTTTTTCCCAGAGTGGACTAAGGGCCAGTTTCACAAACGTTTAACCGCTAACCCATGGTTAATTGATCCAAGATAGGAAGTCGACTGAACTCTGGTTAACAGTTAACCGACGTTTGTGAAACTGGACCTAAGAGTGAATTATATTTTTCAATCGCTTTTCGACCGTTAATGGATTAATGATTATTTTTAGTCTTATTGTTGTTTAATTAAATATGCGTCGCAATTTGATGACGTTGATATGATTTGATCGTACAATTATTTTTCAATACGGTGCATCTCGAAGAAACATTTATTCAATTTATCTCCAAGTCAGCACATCGCCGGATATATCGTGTCTAATATTGTTTATTTTAAATATGCTTGCAGATTCTTCTTATCGTGGTGATATCGATTGCGTGGGCGAAGGCGGCGGAAAATGTAGGGAGGTCTGCCCGCGCGCCGCAAGGACAAAGCAAGTACGCCGATAGCGGTGAGTACGACGTTTCTTCGATTATTCGCCTCGAGAACCTTGGACCTCTGTTGTATCGCAATTAACTGTTGCCGCTACTGCTATTATAACGCACGCAAGAGTCGATTTTCACATCCCAGATCTTTAGAACAATTCCTTTGTGATCCACGACCGGGGTCGGCGTTGCGCAAGCACCGGCCATCGACGGCCGGCGATAAGTGGACGTCGAGATGACGGAACGTTCCTCTCGGTGTTGCAGGCACCAGGATCAACTGGGAGTACCTGGCGCCGCAGAGCCAGTTGCGCTCGCAGCGGGCGAATGCTCAACGGTACCAGCGCGCTGAGGGTGGCTCGCCCCATCGTCTTCGACAGGCACAGGCACCGCAGCATCGCACCCAACCGCCGCAGCCTCAAGCCCAGCAGGCCCAGCAGGCCCCGGGTCCGCAGTACTACAGTTACAAGCCGTACTCGGCGGTGCCGGATCACATCAGACAGCTGATCGACTCGGTCTATCAGCCGCAAGCTCCCTACGTCGATCCTACGTCTTTCATTTACGGCGGCAACCACTTTGCGGCGGCGCCGCAGCAACGCGAGCAGCAGCCAGCTCCAGCCGCCTCCGAGGTCCCTCGCGGTGCCTACTTGCAGCCGTCGGCGAGATACCAATCGATCGATCCTCAACATTTTCAACAAGCGCAGCCCAGATACGATTACAGCGAAAGGAGAGTGGAGCGTCAGGATAGAGTCGCCTACAAGGAGGATTACGAGCAACAGCAACAGCAACAGCAGCAGCAGCAGCAGGAGCAGCAGCAAGTAGTGTTTCCGTATGCAAGCTTGCCCGAATCTCCGCTACCTGTCCTATACTTGGACAAGAACATGCCTACGGAAATCAAGCAATTGCTCAAGTATCAGGCGCAGATACCATATGACGTCACGGCGAATCGCATTCAGTACAATCCGAAGAACATTTTTATTCCCAAGCCATTGCCCGATGACGTTAAGGGAACCTATTATTACCGTAGCAAAGTTTATTATCCGAACGACGAGAGCGTTGACGCAGAGTACCCGCGGGACAAGCCGGTCGACGAGGAGCAGCGCCATTGACCAAAAGTGTTGGCCTATGTAAAATACGATTTATATAATTTAATATCCTGTTTCTCCGTAAACTTCGAAGAAAAGACGGCTAGCCCCGAGACTCGCCCGAATTGAATCCCGGTTTTATTCGCGGAAACAGCTTTCAGCTTCTTGATATCGTCAAGGCTTTGTTAAGATTAGTATCTTACACGCTTTAAATTATAGTATCTCCTGTTGACATTTTAATTACGTATGCCTTGTACTGCCGTGTATTTGACAGCAAGCCATTGGTTTACTTCTTTGGCGGCCGAAAACGGACGGGTGTGTTCGACAATTAGAATTAAATTTACTCATTAGAAAAAAAAAAACTGCTCGATTTACAATTAACATGGAACGTTTTGTTACACGAAAAGTTTGCCTTTAAAGAAGATTAATTCAACAGACAAGGAATCGAGGAAATTTACGTGATATAATAAGCAATGATAAAAAATAATTCAAACAGAAATAGCAAGATCTGTCAGGCTTCGCTCCAATTAATTTTCTCTCTCGTTTTTGGTTTCACTCAATTATAAAGGTGTATTCAGTTTTTCGTACGTACGTAAGATGGAGAGCGCTTGACTACACGGTAGCGCGAAGAATGTAATTTTTTGTACGAAATAAATCGTTTCCGCCTCTGGCATTATGGAAGTCATTCACCTGGTCGTGGCGCAATTTTTTGCGTTTTATTATTTTAGTTCACGGAAACTTGACGGGCACTTCCGCTCGTAAAAAGGTGAGTTTAAACGCGCGAGCGAAAATCCGATAGAGGCAAAAGCTATCGTTTACTCCTTTCAGGAAGCGTTTCGCGTTCTGCGCGACGCGTGATTTGGTTAATTATACATTAGGATAGGATTACCGAGTCCCCACGTTATTAAGAGCAAATAGAAAGCCAGACGATTTTTCGCTTTCCAGTGAATAAAGATATCCGATCTCTTTGCGATATTAGAAAGCGATATTCGTCTTACGCAGAGATTCGCGACGCGGCATTATGATAAGAGCGCGATATAAATTTTGCAAAAGGAAGTGAACCGAACGGCATAATCTGAGAAATTTCTTATCAGATTGAGTCACATTAATTACAGACATTACTACCCGGCGCGAACATTCTGACGAGAGAAAGAAGTGTACGCGACAGCTCGTAACGTATGACTTTTATTAATAGATTTCATGCGTTCTGATTAGAAAGGGATTGAATGCTTATCGCAAAAAGCATTCAATACACGTAATTAGAAATCCGATCGGGCGGATTTCGTCATCGATGCATAACGATACAAGGTAAGAATATTTATAATATGCGAATTCGAAAAGGCGTATCGCCTAACCACACACATGTTTTCGTTTTCACATAGAGACTTGTAAAAGCACGGATGGCTAGCATTTCTCCGGGCAAGGAAGACGGACGATCCACTTTCGTGGCCTTCACGCTTCGCGTGTCGATGCACCCGTCGAGTCGACACAGTTGCGAATAGTCGCGTTTTTATTTCGCGCAATTTCCCTTTTCGTTCCTTATCGGCGCTCTCTTGCACAGATAATTCCCCAGGGTCACGCTCTTTAAGTTCACCGATTCTGCTGGCGGAGATCGAAAGCAACTGCAACTGTACACGTAATTCGTGACAAATCTGCATTAGTTAATTGAGTTCATAACAAAAACCTGAGAGTATTTGAAGGAGAGACATGCAGAATATAAAATGTGGGGGTAAAAATATGTTATATAAAAAACATATATGTTTATCTGAATATAATAAATTGAACTGAATTATGTTCCGCTTTTATTACATTTGAATACATTAACATATTTACGCCCTTTGAGTTCACCAATTCTGCTGGCGGAGATCGAAAGCAACTGCAACTTTACACGGTACTTAATACATAAAATATTTACTTACGATTGATCACAATTGCTTTTCTATCGTACATCGTACATTTTTCTTTTTTCAAATGCCTTTGTCTAACAAATCAGCTTTTGACTTTTTACATTTTCTTTGTGAATCACCCTGTAGGTCGTCCGCCTTTCATAGACTTTTTTTTACCGATATCGAAGAATATTGTAAAAATTGGTTTCACATGTCGATACAAGTCCTGAGGTAATCTATAATTTCACGGGAGATCGACGATCTATCGCGATGCGACACGGTGTAACTTTCTACCTTAAACTGACGTAACACGACATTTCCATCTATGAGTAGGAGCGACTTTGCAGCCAAATAATTGGATAAAAGAGAAGTACGCTCCCATAATTGCGTATCTGAAATAGGAATCTATGGAATTAACAATAAGACTTTACGGGTCTAATGATACGGAGCATCAGAGATCTGTTATCGAATCCATTGCGAAAATAGAAATCTGCAATTCCTAGGGTAGAGACGAGAAGGTAGCGTTAAGAATGACATAGGAATAATATGATATTTCGCACACATTCGCAATAATACGGCATAAATCAAAGAATCATTCTCCCGATCACATTTCTGTAACCACTATACTTATATCAATCGCAATACTATTGCAATAAATGAAAACTTGTTATTCACTTAGTTTGCTTCCCTGTAAGGTTCAGATTTTTGTGATTTAGATCTGCATTATTATTAGCACTTTAACGCTAAAAGCAACGGTGTGTAGCGAGTTACGTAACTTGACAGGACAATGATTGAATTCAATGTCGACAATTAATTGCGGATCCTCGCGGTCTTTACTCCGTAACCTTTGAATGGCGACTGCCTGGGAAATATCGTGTTGCATCACATTCCACTGCAGCTATTCCATCGTTTTCCATCGGTGTACTCAAGACTTTTCACGATTAGAATACATCGCGTAGGAGATGAATGCCTCGTAAGTGGATAAAGAAAGCTTGATGACGGCAAGCAAACCTTGAGATGTATTTACGAACAATACTTTTTTATCGTCATATAAGACGGAAATTATTACAAATTATCAAAAAAATTTAATTAATTAGGTAATAAAACATTTTGTAAAATTGTATAAAGTGATCTTTATTACGGACGTGCACATTCTTCTCATTTATTTTCTACGCAATAAGAAATCAGAATCGGGTTGTAATGAAATATTGATTCGGTTGAGATGAATATTTATATTCCAATTAAATTCATTTTCAAAATGCTTACGGCTGAATCTATGAGAGAGAATTTATTATCAACGTTGATTATTAAAGTTCAATCCTTTTTTTTAACGAAGAACAAACGTTAAAAGTAGAAAAGTAGAAATTGACAAGAATGAAAGACTAGCGTTGATATGTAAAAATTAGATTTACCAGAACTGTACAGTGGAACGAAGACTATTACATAGTTAGCGCCGGAAGCGATTTCCTTCAATATGCTCGCGTTTGCAAGAAAGAGCGATAACCGTTGAATCACTACATCGGCCGGCCGGCCGGCCGACAAGGTGCAAGATGGAGGTGGCTCTCGCCGAGTCACATCCCCGTCATCGAAAGGCTCCTTTTACGTGGCCGGCTATAAAGTTGTTCTGGTGACCGCGCGCCCGCCTCAGAAACACTCCACCCTCGAACGAATCGACCAGCTTTCACGCCATGCAATTGCACGTAAGTACGCAGCCGCTTTGCATTATTTTTTTTTTCTTCCGGATCGAAAGTCCTCGTTTCAAAAAATAGAGAACAATGTTGAACGCGTACGACCTGTCCAGGAGTCGCGCGTTTCTCTTCGCCGTGCGATGTGGGCGAGATGAAGTCGCGTGCGCCTAATCGCGCTGGATACGCAAACCAGATACGCCAGCAAGAAATTATGCGACGATACGATTAACGGCGGTCGCCCGTTGTTTTGCGCTATTTCGTTCTCGAACGCGTATCCGTTCGAATCCTCGATCACCGCGCGATGAATCTCGTAGAGACTCGCACGCGTACGTACGTTTCACGATAGCCATCTCGTCGCGTCAGGAACTGGAACAGTGCGGCACGATGTTCCGGAACCAAGTGTCGCGTGCATTTAATTGCGACGTGTTTGCGAATTACTTTGCCTGGTATATTAATTGGATGACGAATTTATCTCGCCACGTCTTTCGCACTTCCGTTCTTCGCGTCTTTATCGTAAGAATTGAATACTCTCTTACGAGGTTTTATTATAACTGATCGCAACGCTGGAAAACGGGAAGTCGTTTGTTTTGTCGGAGGTACTGGTCCACTTCCGTCGAAAGGTAACAAGCGCGAGTAAGGGAATGATGAATGTCGTGCACGTAATTGCGCCGCTGGATGTCGTAAAGAGGGTGACGATTCGAAGTGCCGCTTAATTACCGCGGTCACTGGCCGGGAGTGCGTTTCATGACCCAATTGTCAGCTACGGATACGAGCAATCAGACTTTTGCAATCTTGCTGCAAGCTCGCGGATCGAGATTTCATCATGGAGAACAGCCTGTTCCATTGATTCCCTTCGCTGTCACTCCACGTACTCTCTTAGGAGAACTGAACCTACGACGAGACACGAGAGACAGGTATTCGTAAGAAGACGACAGGTGCAGAAACGCAACGACAGCGAATGCATCGATTGAAATTAGACATTTATGTACGCGCTATTTTTAGCCGATTGTGATATCCCTCTTCTTTTCGCCGTGGTTCCCACTTAAACTGGAAAACATACGTGGACCTCAATAATCAGCATGCGTGTCGCGACTTGCACCTCGCGAAATGTCGCTCGGTTTCCGCATTCTGCGAGATCTGCGGTCGAATTTGTCGTACGTGTAATTCTGGAGCGGCATTTTGTCCCCGTTGACAGCCGGTCGCGGGCATTTTCAAACGAGTCGAAGCTGATTTTTTTCGAATAGTCGCGTCGGGCGTGTCCAGACGATTAATGTCTACCTCGCTTTCTACCGCGTAGCGTTCGCAGCCCGGGCGCATTCAATCGCCTCACAGTCACGAGTCGACTTACGGCTTACATTTTTCTTCCTTTTTCTTCCACCTGCCTTTTTGTCTCGCGGCCGCGTTCCTAACGACTCGAGTGCGTCCCGCGATCGCGAATGTTAACCGGCAACGTGCTCACCTTTTCCCCGATTACCGTGATTAAAGATTCATGCGCTCGCAAACTTTCCCTTCCAGCTTCCCGGTGCTGGTTGCACGATACGCTTCCATATATGCAATATAGTACATACCGTAAGACAGATTCAGGTTTAGTGCCACGCGCATTAGATAATGATCTTTGATCGTCTGGTCTTGCGAAATCGAAAGCACTTAACATCGAAAGCGAAGTTGAATGTAATAATGTTACATTCCAAGTTTATTTTTTTTACAATTATCAGGAAGAACGACTTAATAATAATCAATGCAATTTCACTATTAACAGATATAAATTTAAAAAGCGACGTTGTTAGTTGAGATAAAACGAAGAATATAGGCAATGCGAGCCGTCGCCAGATCGATGGTGATTAATTGTATACAAAAGTCTTGGTCACATTTGTAGACCGAAACGTTCAACGTTATCTATTTTCCAATATCTTTTTTATACCAATTTTTTTATACCAATTGTCTATATTCTTCGTTTTATCTCAACTACCAGCATCGTTTTTAAATTTATATTCATTGGAGCCTTATTTATATTATTGATTTTAGTGTTAAGTTATTACAAAAGTAATACAATTATGTAAAGATTATCAACGTGTAATTGGTGAATAATTTTATTTCTTTCTCCCTATAATCCGCTTTCTCTTTTATTATCAATGCCTGAGTCATTTCTGATGGCTAAATCATAATATACTTTGTATCACGCCATATTGTATGAAATTCTGTTATTTTCTTCTTGTAGGTTTTACTGTTGATGGCACTTCCCATGTGCCTGGCTGAATTTTCAATACAGGGGCCTAGCGACGGACACCGACGTGCTCAAGGTCTGAAGTTTAGCGAGGAGAAAGGAATCGAATACACAGACGCAAGTGGTAAGTGCGGATAAGTGTAGAGACAATGCGACTGGTGTAAAAAAAGAGAGAAGCAATTTATAGTCTTTCGTTATAAAAAAAAATGTCCTTCGGAATATTTTAGTTTCTTCGCGATAGGTTTTCTTATATGTTTTTAATCGGCAATTATTCCGTACGAAACTTCCTTTTTAGATATTAATCTTTTGCCTTTCGAAACATTTTTGTTTTTATAACTTTATAATTATAATAAACTAATCAGAATTCATCAGTGTCGCCGGCGAAAATTAACAACGTCAGTGTTTTCTTGAGTATACCTGGCATCTTTTAATAATACAGAAAATTTGTCGCGAAAAATATTACCTCAGCCAGGGTTTGAACCTGGACCTCCCTACACTCTAGACAGGCGTTTCACAATATGATGATAATATGCCTCGGTGGTCGAATTGGTGAGACGCCCGTCTAGAGTGTAGGGAGGTCCAGGTTCAACCCTTGGCTGTGGTAATATTTTTCGCAATTTCTGTATTATTAAAAGACGCCAGATATGGTCAAGAAAACACTGACGTTTATAATTATACTACTGAGATCTGAACTATTGTTCGTAATAAGGCATACATGTTGAACTAACTTTAGAAATTCTCGGTACGTGTTTTTGAAATAGTATCTTTAATGAACGTCAGTGTTCTCTTGACCATACCCGGCATTTTTAATAATTTTCGCAATAGATTTTCTGTATTATTAAAAATGCCAGGTACGGGCAAGGAAACACCGACGTTGTTAATTATCGCTGGCGACATCGAAGAATTCTCATTAGTATCTTTAAATGTTCGGTTTTTAGAGGGAGGGGGACAGGGAGACTTTACCATTCAAGGCGCGACCGACGGCAATAGCAACTTCCAGATCCAAGGTGCCACGGACGGGCACTCGAATTTTCAAATTCAAGGGCCGTCGGATGGTGGAGCGTCCACCTACAATGTGCAAGGGCCGATCGATCGATACGGTCAGTCCACAATCCAGGGGGCCTACGATGCTAATCAAGTTAACGGAAAAGCGCTCCAGTACGACGACCCCAGCGGTACTGTCATCAACTTTGTTTCACGAGCTTTGTCACTTTGACCCCGAATATATGTCGAGTCGAGTTGACATGAATATGCGTCAAAAGGTTACAGGGTAAACTGGAGGTCGTACGATCGTCAAACGCGTCCGCAAGCTCAGGAGGAGCCGCAGCAGTACACGGCGCAAGCCGCGGCGCCGGTCTCGCGAGCGCACCGGCAGCGAGCGCATCACGCGCGAGCCCAAGCGCAACCGCAACCGCAGCAACAGCAACCACCGGAACCGAGTCCGAATTACAGGCCTTACGCTAACGCGCCGCCGCAGATCCAGCAACTGCTCCAGTTCCAACAGCAAATTCCGTACATCAATATAATTCCGGAACCGTACAGGTACGACTTTGTGCGAAACGATAAGACGCCGAATCAGTTCTCTGACATCTGCGTATTGCCGATAGTAAAATATCATCTATCGCCCTTTTCTTTTGTAATCGAGGGATAATTTTCAATGATCCTTAATGAAATTACAGATTCGACGAAGAGGCCGCGATACGGGCTCAGTCCGAGCAGGTCCGGGACCACCTCCGAAAGTTGGCTCAAGAGGCGGCGGCTGCCCCTATAACCGAGTACGCATCCGCTGCACCTCAGCCCGCACCTCAGCACGCACCTCAGCCCGCACCTCGTCAAAAGTCGCGCGGTCACTCCAGGAGCAAACGTCAGGCTCATCAACAATCGTATCAGCCACCGGCAGAGCCGCAGCCTCAATACTCGCGCAATCTGCCGGCTCACTTGCGCGAACTGCTGAAATTCCAGGCGCAAACGCCGTACAATATCTTTGCCAACCAGGTCGCGTACCGTGGTGCGGAGAAGCCGTATGTGCCGCAGCCCGTGAACCAGCACCAGCAGCAGCAGCTGCTGCAGCAGCAGCAGCAGCAGCAGCAACCGTTACAGCAAGCGCAATACCAAGGTCAGGGTGGCGCCTACGACGGTCAGGCCAGCGCGTACACGCAGGCTCTCGTACAACCCGCATATAACCAGAACCAGCAATATCAGCAACTCGGCTATAATCAGGCTGGCGTAAGACCCGTCACTGAGAATCAGAACTGATCGCTTTGACGAGGCGCCTACGTTGCTATGCCTCTCGTTTGCTTCGATCGGTAGAACGAGTCTTCCCGGACTGAATTCTATTCTATAATGTGATAAATTACATCCGAGTTTTTCAAATACATAATTAGATAAAAAATCAATTTACTATTAGACGAAGGTGTAGGAGCAAGCATTGCTTTTAGCTTGAGAATTTACTCGATAGGTTTATGAGGATTACAATCAAAAGGAAATTACATGGTTTGGAATCTTCTCAATTCTTTTTTGGTCCTGCTGCAGTAAAAGGGAAAAATGCCCTATTTAATGCAATGTTTTGTAAAGTAATAGATATCTGTGTTTGAAAGATAATACACGCGGTATAAATATTTTAGTTTTCCCATAGAATACATATATCTATTTTTTACTTTTTAAGTTTCTGAAATTTGGGTTTTTATATCGAAGTCTTCTGCGATTTTACCCAGCAGATAATTTTTTGTGAACGAGTTCTCCGTCGTTCTTAACACTTTACGGAATCTGCATGCGAGGAAGAAGTGTATTCCTAAAGATTTCTCGGGGTTTCGATCACACAAGAGCGAGATTGAGATTTTTCACAGTTTTTATACGACAAAAAGAGAAATAAAGTCGAACGTCCTACTCGCGACAATACATCAACGCACTAATATATTCAGATGAATATTGATACCTGCTTGAAATAAAAATAATTTAATATAAGTTTAACTGTATTATAGTTTTTTTATATCCACATTTACGCGCGAATAAAATATTTACAACTCTACCCTTGTGTAAGTTTGTTTTCTTCCAATCTAATTTAGCTACCGATGTATAAGATTTCAAAGTTACCCCTCCCCCTCAGGGATGGGGGTGGGGGGTCAATTTTGGTTCCAATGGATAGGCCCCTTCGAGACAAACAACTTTTACCCCGACCATTTTTTTTATCGATGCGTAGTTTTTGAGGTATTTCCATGTCCACACTTAAATTGACCACCCTGTATATTCATATATACACGCTCGATGAATAAATTGCTATAGCTAATAATCGCGTACGACCGCTGTAATATTGAGTTGTACTCGTCAATTAAATTCCGCGACTTTTTGCGAAATGCAAATTGAATGCAATATTCTTCAATGTCGATGTGTAAGGAGACAGCAGGTGTTTCCCAGGTCACTTTCGAGCAAGAAACTTTTATCAGAATGTCGACATATAATATTTATATTAATATATTATATTTAAAGCGTATTACGTTATCGACTTGACTATTTTTATCTACTGTGTACGTATAGTATGTTGTCGCGGTGCATCCTTAAAATGTATATAACGTGGCGCGCTACATCATGTTGTAGCTATGCACTTTAACGATGCACTCGATTTACGACTCGCGGCGAATACGGAAGCGATGCGTGCATTCGTTTCCGTATGCATAGTGCCGGCTCAACCATTACGTGACTGGATACAAGTGTACACGTATAGCGCCCTTTCCTACGGAGCAGATATCTATCACAGTGCACCTTCGTTCATTCGTCGAGCACGTGGAATGCCACGTTTCCATCGTGAACGTCGAGTCCGCGAGTAATCAGCATGCACTCGTGGCTACAAATCTCTGCGGGTACAGCGGTGAAATTGATAGTCTTCTAAAATAACAATTTACGATGCAGCCGGAAAAATATTACGGTTTATAATCTCTTTGAAAGGCAGAAAAATAATTGTTAATAAATATAATTATATTTATTACTTAAACGTACTTAAACGTACTTATTACTTAAACGTCTTTGTTTAGCCTTCGCAACGAGAAGACATGCGATCCTCGTCTTGTCAAACGCTTGCCATTACACTACTTGTTTAACTGTAAGTTTAAAACATTTTTCAAACTCTGTAAATACTAATTTAAGTAATTATCATTAGAGATTCGATGGCGTTCCAAACATCAAAATATTCTACTTGAAAAGGGCCAAAACCCATGGCCGAAACGTTAAAAAGTACGTTTAAGTAATAAATTTGCCGGATTGGTCGACTCCAGCATTATCTCCTTTAATTACCACTGGCGACTTATCATAGTATCAATACAATAATTATATTTATTTAAATATAATTAATTTAAATTAAATAAATATAAAATAAATTAATTGCCAGATATACGGTCAATAAAAATCACTGATGTTATTAATCTAATAATTATACGTTGTTAATATAAAAATAAAAATCAAGTGCTGAATAGTAATCTGAAAAAAGCTAAACATCGCGAATTCTGAACATTAATACTTTGAAACTTTTTTGAAATCTAATAGTTAAAGATAATTGTGTTAGTAGCAGTTTAAACGCAAGAAAATTAAGTAAAGAAATATACGAGCGAGATTGGTATACGTAGCCATACATAACATAGAGACTACAACTGCAGAGAAACTTTCACATAGTTTAAACATATGCCATGACATAATCCACGACAATGTTCAGTTTCGCCTATTCTAGTCAATGGCTCGATAGGCAACGCAAAATTTCAATTGTAAAATTCGAGGTTCGGCACGGTTGCCGAAGGAAAACGCGGGGAAAAGAGACACGGTCGAACCACTTTCACGTAACGGTATCGCCTCGTAATCTACGATGTAATGTAGAATTACATAAACCTTATATGAGAGGGATATTAAATTGCACGGAGGAGGAAAGAATTTACTGTCGTTGCAATTTTGTTATATGTAAATAGATAATTTGCTTCACGTCACGTTTGATGTCACGTGCTACGTATTAAACGACGTCCGCTGTAGATACTTAGATACCTGTGCTTTTTCTCAAAAACCTTACCAAACTAAGTTTCTTTTCTTTCTTGCTGCTGTCAATCAATAATAAATAACACAGAAATTATATTATTTGCACTTGCATACAAAAAATGCGTATGACGTATTCATTTTTATGTACAATAAACAACATAAATAATGTATACGCAATAAAATTTACTGGACAATGTAAAAATATTGCTTTCTAATAAATATGCAATTTATTTATTAATAATAATGCGATAAGATATTTAATACTTTATAATAAATTTTCGATTTTATTTCAACTTTGATTTAAAATTTTATTAAGCGGAAATCAGAGAAAAATTATCTCACTATTAAAATTATTATCCTACTATTAAAATCATTATCTCCCTGGGGCATTGTATGCGAAAGAGACAAATGTGTGCCGCACCGCGCGCTTTGACTTTTCTAGCCACCGGTCACTTCCTGGCGCAACTGGCGGCGGCGAGCTAGCACGGGGCGCTTTGGTTCGTTGCGTTGGGTTACGTGACGACGGGCGGGGGATTTGCACGCGAAAAAAATTGGCCGAAACCCGTCCAACCATGAAAGCTGGTGGTGGCCGACGGCGCGGTTCGGCCCGCGACGACCGGGCCCCATATAGAAGTGCGTCGCGACGCGGCCGCCAGTTTCGTCCCGCTGCCCTCCGGATATCGTTGTTCAGCAATCATGAGATTCCTCGTAAGTCTACGCGATCGCGGCCCTTAAAAGCCTCGCGAAATCCCGCGGCGCGATGCACGCGGGGAGAAAGTGCGATTAAATCCGCTACGCGGAGCAGCCGACGTGCTCGCTTTTGCTTTCCAATCTCGCGCTGATCGTTAAAATCGTCGCAGTTTTATTCCCAAGTCTACGTAATTGAGGGAGGAAAAAGAGAAGAGATAAGTAAAACTTTATCGTTCGTCGATCGCCGAGTGTTAAGTATCTCCATTTCCAAGTAGAAGAAATTGACAGAGCCGAACGTTCGCGTTTAGCGATCTCTCCTTCCTTTTTCTCGCGCAGAAAATTAACGTTCGGTATATTGACTCATCGAAGACATAAAAGTAACGTGCGAAAAAAGAAAGCTTGCTAATTCTTGCCATTTGTCTCAACAATGATAAAGGTGTAATTTTCACAAATTTTCAGTTTACGAACGACTTCTCAAAAATATTACAAATTGCATTGCATTCATTTTTTATACATAAAATCCTATTCTATTCAGAGAGAGCTGAGATGTTATTTCAACTTCCTCTGAACAGAAGTGTTATAAAAGTCGCAGCTTCATAAATAATATTAATATTGATATCACCTTTATTTTTCAAGTGAATAATAAAGTTATATAATAAGTAGATACTTTACATGCGGTCGTCACGCTTGGAAAATGTCGCATTACATTTCATCCGATACGAATCCAAGCTCCATTGAACAAGCATGCGGTGATCTAATTAAATTACTAGCTCGCATATTTGAATACGAACGATTCGTTACTCGCGATGCAAATTACGGCGCCGATGCATGAATGATCAGTTAAGAACTTCTATTTACATCTTGCGAATAGAATTTTTCAGCTTTCTGAGATATAGGATTTCCGCGCTCGAAAAATTGCGCGCGTTCTTCCGACGTCTGTCGACACGGAAAGCATCTATGCCTCGAATGTTTTCGTCAAAGTGTTATAGCTATTTGACATATTTCAGTTCTTGATCCTCGTCGTGGCGCCCGTGCTGGGCACGGAATTCCACGGTGAGTAACAAATCTGAACGTCTCATATCTCCTAAGAATACTTTCCAGCCTCCCCGTTGCCAAACAACATGTAGAATCAATTTTCTATATAACTGAAGATTCGCATTTATTCCCCAATTATCGCGCAGGCCATACCCGGGAACGCAGACAAGCGCAGCAACCCCATTACCGAGCTTATAATCAAGCACCGGCAGCAATCAAGCAGATATTGGCCGCGCAGCAGTATCGCGACCCGATTGTTCATCTCCCGCCGCAACCGGTGCCGAATTTCGCGCCATCAACACCCATTCAGCCTCAACACGTCGCGCAAAACCAGCTGAGTCAATATAAACCGAACGTGCAAATAGGTCAGGCACCTCAGCAACCGAACGTGCAAATAGGTCAGGCACCTCAGCAACCGACCTATAAGGAGATTGCCGTACAACCAGCCCAATACAATCCGCCGGCTGCTGCCCAGAAAGAATACAATCCGCAGTATCTCGGCAGTTATGGAGCGCAGCAGCAGCAGCAGCAGCAGCAAGCCGCCCAAAATAATTATCAATACTCGAGAAATCTGCCGCCGCACCTTCAGCAGCTCGTGCAATTCCAACAAAACCTGGGCAACCCGCAAGGACAGCATCAGGGATAATCTGCTCGGGAAGGGCGACGAGACGACGATATCTACGAGACATCGATCTTTCCTATTTCGTAAAACATCCATCGTCCCTCACACATTGCTTCATCCATTGCATTCAGCAGACTATTGATGGATTCGTAATCTACAAGCCTCGCCGAAACACGAGGATACTAAAGGCTGTTTATTTCTTTTCGTAAATATTTTATTATCTTTACGTTAATTTATTGAAACGAATTAGATCGAAAGTGTTAAGTTTTGAGAATTTTTATTTTTATGCTAATAGTTGCCAAGAGAAAAATTGATTTTTGCTGAAAAATTTGACGTTTAATTCGTGTCACATTTTTACACATTCATTTAATTCCACTTTCAACTCACACGCCATTTCATACGTTCACTGTCGCACTTATTGTTAGATTTTCATACCAATTTGAAAATTGTGGAAAAATGTATAAAGATTTATATAAATAAATTTTATTCGAGTTTCTCTCGATCTGAAAATCACGCAAGTCGCTTTTGTCACGTCGGATCGCCGCTTTGAGACTTGAAGATTATATTGTCATCGTTTGTGTCAACTTTGAGACGTATGCTTGCCGTTTAATTATGCACCCCTTTGCCGTCCCTTTCGGGTCTACCGGCCGCTTTCCAACTATCGGGGGCAACCATCGCGTCTCTTTAAACTAAATTTGTTCCAATGAACGAATATTAACTGACAACATTTTTGTCGACAAACGCAGTTCGAGAACGCTCGTACTGGTAACGCGCGTGGCATAGCTCGGCCGAGAAATCCGAGGGTATCATCGCACCGATGGTTCCGCACAAGGGGCGTATCTGCACGTCACCACTCTCCGGTAGGACAGGCCGGAGAGATCACCCCCTTGTGCGTCACCCCCTTCCCGCCGCCGTCACGGCGGCCCGCACGGGCGAATGCAGTCTTCACTTCGCGCACCCCAGAGAGGCGCACGCACCGCAGTCACACCACCCCGCCCTGCCCCCCCTCGCTGCCGATTCTTACCTCCGTGCATCCCGTGAATGCGTGCCCCCTCGCCGACAAACAGGGAAGAGGATTAGCGAGTCCATTAAAGTCGCGGACTCTATTATCCGGAGGGCACGGCCACGGTGACATCAACTGCTCGCCATTGGCGTAGACAATTTGACAAATCGAGCTCCCATTGCCTTGGGACTTGGACAGAGAATTTGTCCTTGCAAAGGGAGAAAAGAAATTCAGCAAGGAATAATTTATTTTTCATCCCGCCTACAGGATGGCTGCGATAATTGTTTCGAGCAACGAACGTTATATTCCGCATGCAACATTTGTTTACGTAATAGATGTAATTTAATTTTGCAATCTATTTTTTATATCGTCAGTCGTTTACTACCGCAATTGCATTTGCACGGTAAAGCACGATAGATTAGAATCTTCTGACGAAAGTGGCGCACGATGGCTAGAAGATTGTTGGAAAACGCGCGGGGAAAGGTTCGCGCAAAAAAATCGACGCCACTGAAGAGGGAGGGGAGGGGGGGGTCATAGAGGCAAATTACAAAGGGAGGATTACCGGCAGCTGGACTACCAAGCAAACGCGTCTCTCCTGGCTCTCGCGAGCGAGTGAGCCATCCACGTCGCTCGAGAGCTCTTTGTCCTTCGACGCATTGGTAACATAATTATCGGAGTTATACCAAGCCAAAACCCAAGCCGCATCCAAAAGGGGTGGCGAGCGGTTAGGCTGTGACACCACGTGTACGTGCGCGCACGTGGAGTGCGTCTCTCAAGCACAGAGATTTATTGGCGAAGCTGCAGAGTCCAACTTGATTTGAGAAATATCCTTAATACTTATTGCAAAGCATGAAGGATATAGATCACTTGAGAAGGACCACAAACCGTGGTCGAAACGTTGTGAGTTTAAACATAAAAAATTGCCAGACATGGTCAAGTAATCATCTGAAGTTCTTCTTTAGTTCGCACAACCTACCACCGGCAATAATTTGCCATTTTCTTTATTGTAGCTAACAGTGAAAAAAAATTATAATACGCAACCGGAATTTTACAAGTTTGAATTTTGTAAACGAAATTTTATAATATTTTCTCGCGACAGCTCGCAGTATTATATGCGCGCGAGTATTGATACAATAAATCTCGATGTTATAACAGAATGCTAATAGCACAACTACAAATTGATCGAGATCTTGGTTTCCTTTCTTTGAATAGAATTTCTAACTAATGTATTTAATATTCACTGATACACATCAGTGAATAGCACTGAAGAAAAGACAGTGCCCATAACTGCACACCTAACGGAGCCAGCTCGCGAAGCGTGATCGGGGAAAAATGCAACGGTTAGCATTTCATTCGCAGATACAGACTACGTAATGTGCTTTGCATGGCTTTTGTGCAGCTAATTACGAGGCTAACATGATGCAGGTATGTATCTCAGCTCGCTGAAATATACGTTTTTCGTCCGCGAATTTCGCAACGGTGCTAACGGGTGTCATATTTCCTTCGTCGAGGCAACACGGGGAGAAAGAGAGAGGAGGCCGGCTTTCGAGGCTTTCATCGACGTCAAATATGTGTCAACCACTTGAATTCGAACATACTTGAAAGACAGTATTTGTATGAAGTGTCCTGAGTTTCCTACACTTTGGATTATTTGCTAATTTGTTGACAAATCTTCACCTTTAACAATTATGCATTAATATATATTTTTTAATCATAGCTATTTATAGTTTCAAAATTTATTAGATTGGAATGAGTCTTGCGCGTAAACGAATAAGTAATAACAGCTTAATATACGTTTAATTTAAAATTAATTTTGACAAAATACTTATAATATTCGCGATAAATTGAAAAATATGAAATATTTAGGCACTAACACCCTGTCACGGCTCTTAGTCCTTTACTTCTTTAAATTTGTGTTTATCACATTTGAGCCATACGAATTTTATAACTTATTATTAGATTAATTGTAAAAATTAATGATTACAGATAAAATGTTCATAAAGCGCAAGAGAAATAGGTCACACCTTATATACTCGACACGTTGCAAATTCTGGTGTACACACCGCGATTAATGTTACCTCGTTATGCTATTTTATTGCAGCTCGCTGAACTGCACATTCACTTAAATACAAGTCTTATGATTATTTCTTCACGACTATATGAGAAAGGAAAGATTGACATTTTCAAAAAATAAGATATGTGCAAAAACATCTAACTTTCATGCTCTTTGAAGACTTCTAATATACATGTATGTATATTTAATTTATTTTCTTTTTCGCTTTCAATGATTTGTAAAATAATCATAATACATATTTTATAAAGTACCTTTTAAGATATAAAATAAATACATTTTCTTTGATTATTACTTTTAAAGAAAAGAACATACATAAATGTAAGATTTTATACTTAAAAAAGATAGACGTTGTTTGATAAACATAAAAATATTTTTGCGACAAATTCACATACTTTCAATTTTTGGTGTTAACTGCAAGTAGAACGCAATTGAGCCTCAAATTTGCATTTTTAATCGAAAGATCAAACTATCATTTTTATATTTGAACATCGTGCATTCGTGTCTACAACTTTCAGAATATTAAAATATATTTTAACGGAGCAAGTTTTCATAACAGTCCGAAAGGACACAAGAAGCGTGTGAAACGGGTTGTGGTCTGCGAAGTGATTCCAATAATTGCGCTTAATCCTTAGGGTGGCGGCACGCGGCCGACAGTCGTGGACGAGTCCCCGGCAACCCTTTGTCTTTCACTCCGCACCTCTTGACCATTTTCTCCCGCTACCGGTAGCTTATTCCAGATTCCCTTTAGAAGTGTTAGCAATGATTATGACGGGATTTATTTCAATAACAGAGGCACGCCGCGTTTCTGTTTGATATAACCGGGCGCGCTCGTCCCACGCGCGGAATATTCTACGTGTCACCAGCAACAGTCAAGGGTGTCGACGGGAGATTTTCACATCTCACGTACGAAACCGTACTTTAACTCATACGTTTCTCACACGGAATCTCTCGATATTAAAAAATATAAATCGTAAGAAGCAAAATGTTCTTTTTTTCCACCGTTTATCGTTCTTTCGGTGTCTATTTGTTAAGAGATAAGTCTATGGACAATTGAGTCGACGTTGATCCTACCTATTTTATCGAGTTGACGAGCGATGTTGTCAGCTGAACAATGAATAACGAAACGCTCGCGGGTACGAGAGCGACGTGAGATGTTATTGGGCGACCCTGATCTTTAGCGAAGTTACTGACCCTGTTCCAAGTCCTCCGTACCATTGTGAGGAGAAGCCAGACCGGAAAGATTCAGCATGGCCGACTAATGGTAGCGGCCAATCGCTGCACTCTTCATGACAGCTGCGCATCCCTCGGAAACTCGCTCGCTCGCTGGTCCCTCTCTCTGCTCGCGGCCGAGATGTAGTACGGGATCGGGGGCCTAACTTTCTGATTTTTGCCTTACGAAGTCAGCCATTGTGAAAGGGTCCCGTTCGCCCGAGTATCGGGCTGACGTGCGTGATCCTTCATGTGGTCTTAAGTCGTCGTAGCTGGTCTCGTAATTGTCGGTCGCACACACGTGCTTTTTTAGCGTCTTAAACGCACACCCAACACTGCTGATACAGCTCCTTTGAGCACCGATGTTGTAACACAAGGAAGAAGGATATTTCTGAAAAGCTGTCATGGGGTGTGACGTTTCTATCTCACGAGAGAAAGAGAGTTGCGAAATAATAAAAGCATGCATGCTCGCGTTACCAAGTTCTCATTTTCGAACGTTGACGATTTCCTTACAAACCGTATCTAGAAACGTCAGTCAACGACAATTATAATCTACATCTTTGTGCACTATGTATGTGCACTTTTTTCTTGTAGCTTATGCGTAAAGACATTTAAAATATAACTCTCTTATAAATGGAGAATCTTTCACAAATGCTTTTGCGATCTTTTTCTTGACTGCCGAAAAAAGTAAGGAAACTTTTACTTTTTTTAAAAATGTGATTTTAATTTTTTTACGCGA